CCGTGATATGGCCGCGGAGATCAGGGACAAATGGTGTGATGACCCCTATATCAATGGAGAAACGCTACGTATGTAGGTAGGTCGTTCGGATCTTCTCTCATGCCAACAAAAAAAAAAGGTCATATGCCCTGTTAGCTAGGGGTTCTGGTAATTTATGCTGGATGGGCGGCACGGGTTGGACCTGATGCTATTTGTATGAAGTCTCTGCTTATCAGCAGTTAGACCTACGTCAAGAGAACAGTCAGCCAAGCTTTCCATGGTTTGTCTCAGACCAGGTATCAGGAGAAGAGGTACTTTACGCTACCTAAACAACGGTCTAAACTTTCGATTGGTCTTTCACTCCGGGCTGGATTGAGAGTTGCTACACGTCCCATGCAGCTTCGGTAACTTGAACCCATGGGCACGCCGGCCGTCAGGGGATATGTATCAGGAATATAAGGCTGAACCCACACCATCAACACGTCACCAACATGAAGTCTCAGAGCGGCGTGTTATGGTTTTGAAATCGGGTAAGATATGATCCGTGGCTGGGATAGATAACAACTCCTCAGATGTCAAACTCGAGATAAGATAAGACAAGGATTTTATTACATTACTGATCTAAGGCCGGATAAGAAAGCGCCTGCCTATCTTGATAACAAGCGTAGCCCTCTAACCTGAAAAGTCAGCAGCCAATAATCTAATCAATTAATTATCTGGGTCTCTGACCCCCGGAAACAAAACAGGGCCTGGAAGCACCATATATCACTCGACGTGCTGATCACTTCCTAGGCGATGTGTGTTAGCGAATAAATCTTGATCTATTGGCCGAGATAAGATAATAGATAGTAAGCACATGCCTTAATTGGTGCCTAGCTACATGGGTACAAAAGCATAGTTATGAATAAGCCTATTGGTCGATCCCGAAATTATGACAGGCTAGTGGTGTTGGATGGTTCTTTGGCTCTGATATATAATAGTGCTGTCTCAACCTTCATGATGTCCTCCACGTCGGTTTCCACAGTGGGCTCCACACTGACCCGAGGAGAGTTCTGACACGTCTTCCCACAGCATTATCCACACGGTGTTCAGAAAGTATTTATAAAAACACAGACGAAGCACAAAAGATCTCAAGATGTTGAGCATTGGGCCTTGGATTTTCAAAAAAATTACTGGTGAACTAGGTATTGAGTCTCAATATCGCCGCTATGTTTGCTACAGTTAATTAAACCCAGAACTCATCTTGGCCAATGCCTAACAAAATACAACCTTGTGGGGCCCACAAAACGCACAGTCAGTGAAAGGGAGGTCATTCATAATACATATGCTTGAACTGAATAAGACTCTAATAAAATATAAATCTAGTCTTGTTCCTGATCCCCCCACGCCCAGCCATCAAAGACCTAGTTTCTCGGGGTCAGACAAAACCGCCTTAAGTGCAAGTGCCAACATGCAAGGATTCTAATGCAAAGTGACGCAAATAAGGCCTAGCATCCATTCTCAAGCAGACACCAGGGTTGAATACGCCACTTAAAACGGGTTTACCTGGTTAGATAGGACGCCACATCCGACCAGCTGGGTCGAGGGTCCATCACCAAATAGGTATATTTGTACGACAGTCAATATACCGATTCTAGCCTTATTTGCTTTTACTATTTAAACTGTGTTATTACTTCTTCCCCGAATAACTAATTTTAAGGCCGTGAAAGTTGAAAGGAGCGGCATTTAAGAGGATTATTGGCCAAAATATAAGTTGGGTCTGGTTCACAATCTACACTAATTAAACGGAGTTATGCGCACCGAGTCGTGATATATGCCAAATTGAAATTCGTCATGATGCATGATGACCTTACTTACATACATGGCTCGATACAGAACGCTCCAGTATAAGATTTGGCTCCTGACTGGTATTGTAGTAATTCGCCCCAGCGGACTGTCACACAAGACGTCGAAGTTGCCTTTTACAGCGAGCATGAGGGAGGATTAGGGGGTCTTTTCAAGACAAATGACCAGATAAGGGGATTCCAACGTACTGTGTGACCATCCGCTGGGGCGAATTACTGCGGTGCACTACATGGCATGCCACCCGGGCTAATCCAGGAACCTCCTCGACTGGTATTGGAGTAGAACACATGTCACTCCCAAATTCCCACAAGAATATAATACTGGGGTGATTGAGCTACTAGCACTTGATCTGTTTGTCCAGTCGGTCGTTGGTAACGTAGTTACTACTAGCTTCCGTGGATAAGAAATTATTAGCTGTACGCACCGTTGTCAATGATTGAATAGCTAATCCCTTCCAGGGGACACCATCGTAATGGAAAGAATCAGTATTTGCTAGAATTTCTCGGTTTAAAATCATCTCCTCCGTACTTACTAGATGTATTGTGAGTTTGAATTGAATACCCTGGGACGCCCACCAAGACAATGGGCCACAACAACCAAACTTTGAAATTGACGACATTGAGCCGATACTTAAGGCTAAGGCAGTACGAGCGTAGGCAATCGCAGAAATGAAATCTCTTGTATTTTCCTGCTATTGTTGTGTTGCAAACATTGAAATTACTTTCCAATATAAAATTGGTAACGTAAGTGTCCCGCTAAAACTCAAGATAACTGCTTGTAACTCAATATAAAAAACTGAGAGTGTACAAAGATAGACCACTGATAATCATACTCGTTCATAGCAAGGGTAAATGCGTAAGTTCATAAGTCATTAGATTAAACGGGGCCTATTCTGCCCACTCAGGATTCCACTCGCCTACATTTATAGGCATACCACCCTGGGTCTTATTGGTAAGTACCAAAGTAGTACCATGAGAGTACCCAAGCTCTGCCAGCGACAAGTCCTCATCAGACGCCGACAGTAACCTAAGGGGCGCTATCTGCTGGAAGTTGTACGGAACTTGAGAATCCCCTCGATTCTACCCCAGAGCTTTAGTAACTCCACAATCAATTATTCAACCAGGATATACACACCTCATCCAACCATTTCCTGACATCTGCCAATTTACTCTCACTCGGGAATGTATTCTTCAACATGGTCCCGTTCAATAGTCGAAAAGCCATTAACGTCTCTCCACTCCCCACCGGCTTCTTTTCCTCTTTCACACGCACTGGGGTCGACGCCAGCCCATGCACTTTACGCCTCTCCCTCTCCCGGCGCTCTATCTTGTCGTTTTCAACCAACATCAAGATCCGCCGTTTCTCTGCGATATCATCCTCACGGAGCTTCTTTTGCTCCGCGAGATACTTTTTACGAGCAGGCGTCTCTGACTCGCGGCGGGCTTTGTCCCGGGCCAGACGTTCGAGCCGTTCTTTTTGCTCCTGGGCTTTGCGGGCGGCCTGTTGCGCATCAAGTCGCGCTTTACGCTCGGCGAAGAGGGCGGCAGGGGTATTTGGGTCGACTGGAGGGGTAGCAGCTGACGGGAAAGCGGCACGGATGGCGGCGGTGAATTGAGCTTGGGTGCTGATCGTGTGGGGCATATTTGCGAGAACTGCACCATTTCTAATTGTTGATGGTTTGTCAATTAAGTAATTAATTGTCGGAATTAAAAGGTTAGGACCTACTTTACGATCGATATGTAGGGCGCCTTTTCCTCTGGACAAAAAGCGCAGAGAACCGCTGCTTCAGGGGACTCTTCTTCAAGGCGCACGATTATTGAGCTCTTTTCAAGCAGGGGGAGGATCTAATAATTGGTGCCATTTTGGTTAGCGCAGACTACCCTTGTTGTAAAGCACTCGGAACATGCCTCATGGTTCTTGAGGTAGTCGTTTTCCCATTTGTTGCTCAGTTCGCCCTCATCTATATTTCATAAGCAACGATAAGTAAGCTATCTGCAGCTATCAAACATGCATCGATCGTGAGGCAGTGGTACAAAACGTACCAGTGACAAAGAAAACCAGCGACTTATCTTGCTCAGCAGCTGTCGTGATCGTTTTGTTTACAGGACTGAACCGAAATAACCGAGATAATTGAATAGTCATCTTTGAGATTGAAACTTACGACGGGTGTTTCGAAAGAGGGGAAATTTAGGATTCCTCGACGTTTAAGTAGACCATGCTGACTGTCTGCCTGAGCTGCTGTGGCTTAATTGATGAGGCGCAGCTGCGTAAGGCGCAGAAAGCTGACAGCCACAACTCTCATCCCAATACTAGTAAGTGTTGAGTCATCAGTGCGCATGCACCGGAAACCAGAAACCAGTTTTTTTTAAACTATGTTCTAGCCGGGGTTAGGTGTTCTAAAACTTAAATCCAAATATCTCCTCATTGCTTCGTCAGCTACTCCTCCCCAACGCTGCAAATATTAAAAATCAACTAGAATGTTGAGGACCCCATTTAACAACTTTGTCGACATTATTCATGAAAAGCTATTATGGTATTTCCACTGATTGAAAATACACCGAAAGGTTGGCAGGAATCCGAAGGACATGAAAGTGTACATGTAATTCTGAGCAGTCGAGCTCCCTGCCATAAAATCATGAAAACTGCCTTCGAGCCAAGTATAAAAACAACACAATATATATTTAACCTGTTCCCTGAGCTTTATCACTGGCGGAAAGATTATATTTAATTTATTGAGACTTTTCGTTAACTCTATTACAGTACGATGACCTGCCTACACCGATCGCTGTTCGGTTTCCGAATCCCATGCGGGGTATCGACCCCTCAAAGCTTTGGACCAGTATTTGTTTCTCTATGCTATTCTGTACGTACACAACTTCCAACTGTACTGTCGATCCGCATGTCTTCCGCGGCCGTGGATGAGTGACATCCCATGACTTAGGCAATCACTACGTCTTGGCACAGAACCGCAGCTATTTCCGCGCTGTTAAGACTTTATCCGGTGTCATTCAAAATTCTCAGGGCCTTTATATAAAATGGCTTGTAAAAGATGCTTTCATTAATACAGTATAGTCGTCGCAGAGCAATAAAACCTGGATTAAAGACCTGCTGCTTTGTTGTATATATATACAGGGAGGATAAAGCTTCCACCTTCTCAAAACTCAAGTAAAAAAACAATGAAGGCCTCAATTGTTTTCTTCACCATCGCAGGCATTGCACTTGCCGCACCCCTCCCTCAATATGAGGGCCCCGGCGAAGAACCATTGTACGAATACTTTGGCGGAGTTCCCAACTACAGTCCCTACCCCTACCAGCCGAACGAACAGTATGGGCAGGCACAATACTCTCCGTATTCAATGGAAGAGGCGCCACCGCCGCAGCTTCTAGCCCCTCCAGCCCTAGGACCTCTCGACCGTCCTAGTGACCACGATGAATCAGCTGGTGTACCTCTCTCAGCTCATCAAATCCCTAAGCCAAGGCTTCCAAAGCCGCCCGGTTCTGGGCGGAGACCGCTCACGAAGCCGGTGTCTGAGAAACCTCAAGACAAGAGCTCTCTCGCTGAGAAGCTTTCCAACGACTTTGAATTCGCTGGGCCAGCCCCTACCTACGCTGATGGTCCAGTTTCAGCTGCTGCTCCGGCGCCAAGCACCGGAAGACCTACCATCACTGAAGATAGGACAGATGACAACGAAGCTGTTCGCTATCACGTTAACGTTGGTGGGGTGCAGAAGGGGGGTAACGGTGGCACCACCAACTTCCACGTCTTCTCAGATGAAAACGGAGATAAGATGTTCTCGAACGAGATGGATGAGGAGACTGAGCGGTACATTACCGAGAACATGATCCCCAAGCTTGGTGGAAAGAGAAAGGGGAAGTCCACACCAGGAGTTTGGAGTGTCTTTGGAGACAAATAGAGGTACTATTTTTACTCTCATACTTCTTACCCCTCCCCGCCTCCGGAATATCATTTACTAAGAGTTAGTAGAGCGGGAATCGAATCGGGCTCATAACAGCAAGACTAGAGTATCGAAATCCCCAGCTTACAGTTTGAGCCGTCATCTTTTAAAATTGAGGAGAAACTCTTGAAGTTTTCTTTTGGTGTACGGGGGACTTCGAGGCCCGCTCTAGTTGTTTATAAACACAGGTAGATCTAGCCAGTTCTGTATTGCACAATTCTTATATTAAAAATAAAACTTTGAGTTGGACTCCTCGGTTTTAATACCCTTGTGACATTCCCACACACAACCTTTGAGTTGCGGGGGAGCGTGAATTTTTCCAACTTAAAATCTGCACTGTGATCGTTGCCCACTAACTTAGTTCCCTTATGCCTTGAATTATAGCTCAACTCGATGTCGATTGGGAGCTAAAGCTTCCGCTTTAATAATTCTAGCCGAGGGATGAAATTGGTGATGGTTTATAATTATACTTACGGTTGTAGTTAGGGCCAGAAAAACTCAACCCTCAGCCACTATACCTGAACGAGAAAATTATTCAAACATTACCGTTGTATCGGGGTTTTGATAAGAACAACTACCCCAGCTAAAAGCACATTACGTATATATATCATGAACATCGTGAGGCGAAATATTCCCGTGGAATACGACCCCATATTTTTATTCCTCAACCTCTCCTTCGCCTTCGATAAAGAACAATATCGAGACCCGGAGAAAATGTGCGAGTCATGATTAGTCAACAGCAGAATATCAGCAACTGTCTATAAAGAACCGGCCACATCTCCAAACTGATTTCTGAACCTACTATCATCGACATACCCTTACCCATTCTTTTAAGTTCAATAGACACTCTTTTCAGAATGATATACTCCACTGTCTTTCTCTCGGCCTTGCTGGCTGCGGTAGTTGCTGCTGCGTAAGTTCGATCCCCAGCTACCTCCAACTACAAAACCAATGACATTAGACTGACAAGATAACTTTAGTCCTGGCATTGACCCGCTGCAATACCGCAACTCCGAGTACTACAAGCCAGAGTACTACAAGCCAGAGTACAGGCCGGAGTACAAGCCCCAGGAGTACTACAAGCCTCACGACTACTACAAGAACTACTACCCCAACTCCAACAGCTACCAGAACTACTACCCTTACATCAAGCCCAACTTTGTAAACGCCTACGAGAAGCAGCAAGCCTACGACTCAAACGCTCAGGCCTATGAAAACGGAAATGAGAACGCTAACGCTATGGAGTCTCTTGCCGGCGCAAAGTCTGAGAACGCCAACGAGAACGCCAATCTCGCAAAGGGAGGAGAGGCATTCGGTTTCGGTGCTCTGGAGTCCGACAATCGTAACTTGCTCGCCAACGAGAACAACATTGAGGTTGCCAACGCCAACAAGAACGAGCTTGGTGTGGAGGTTGCCAACTTTAACGCCAACGACAACACTGCCCAGCAGGAGTCTGCGGCGTTGGCTGAGGTCCAGAGCGAGGATTTGGCTTTCTTTGAGGATGTGATTGAGAATGAGACCGACAACCTCAACGCCAACGAGAACGTTAATGACAACATTGACCGCAACAACAGAGGACGTCCCTGCGCTCGTCCATCTTGCCCTACTCCCTGCAACAGCTGCGGCCATTAAGTGGTAGTGCTTATTGTAGATATCATGACGCTAGAACACTTTCGTTGATGTTACTTTAATTTCGTTAAGGCAGATGTTTGACCCTGTCTTTTTGCGAGGTGGAGGGATGCCCGAGGATATAGATGAGCGGATACGTTATAGATTTTGTATGCATATGGATAGATATTCTGAAGTACATACCTGCAACATGAAAAACTTATGTTTATACTCTTAGTAGAGAGAGGCATGTTAGTGTAGCCATGCTTACAGCGAGATTAAGTTATCGCCGATGTTTCGAAGCAACACTATGATCGAAGATATACCCCCAAACCCGCAAGAAAATATTCTCGCCGCAAATAGATAAGTTCTAGATGTGAGTAAATGAAATTTTAGACCTGCAGCTTCCACCGTGACGATTGGTGACATTTCGAGTCCCAAGAACCATAGGATGGCCGTAATAATCATCGGGTCGTTGTCGTCAGTATGTAGTTCGAAGTTTTCTGTAAAATAGCTATGTTTTTGTCTCGTTAATATGCGTATGTACTTGTATAGGCTTCGTAATTGATGGCGCTGGAAGGGAAATGGGTAACATAATCAGGAAGGAACAGAGAGACTGAATCATGAAGGATCACTCATTATTCTGAATCATCTTGATCGGGATGCGCCTGCATGAAATCCCTGACCGTTTGTAATTGGACTTCCAAGCCACTGCTGAACAACCATGCACCTGATTCAGGCAACCAACAAAACTCATTAATATCATTTACCATGATCATAACCCCACAAACGTCCCTGTTGGTGCTGTTTTCTACGATAGTCCGAGTACGCATTGCGAGATTGAGCTATGGAGTCGAAAAACCGCAAACCCAGCGCCAACGCTCCTGTTCCTGATACTGCTACTGTTGCTGCTGATGCTGATGCTATTACGGGTGCGGGTACGGGTCTGGGTGCCAATGCTTCAAATCGGGTACCTAAAGTAAAGGCAGGGCCCAAGGGTCAGTACCATCATATCATACCCCGGTTCATCCTCCGAAAATTCATTATTGAAGGACAGTAAGGATCCCATCTCCTTCTATAATCTAAACATCGAAAGGAAAAAAAAAACGCTCGCTGAAACATCCAATAGCAAAAATCCTGAGGCCAACAGACGAAGGAAAAATGCTACCCCCGGGCTCTCCGACCCTATAAACTGCTACCATGTTCCTAGTGGCATCTTCTCGGTCTCCTCTATCGACACCAGCTATGGTGTTACAGACCTCTACATCAATATCAAGAATGCTGATAACGTTTACGAAATCGAGAAGAAACTCTCTGTTCTCGAATCCCACGCTGCACAAGCAATTAGTCTTCTTCTAAAGACTGTTGAGTCTCGTCCACCTGGAGACTTGCCCTCGGGGGAGCCACAATACTTTAAAATAAAGCGGAAATTCCTCAACTACCTAAGGAAGTTCATGTTTATCATGTACTTCCGTAATGATGGATTCAAGGCCCAACATTTCAACGAAAAACATCCGGATAATTCAGGCGGGGCCGCGTGGATCCGCGCATTCAGACAAAAGAATAATCTCGAGCCTTCGGAAATGTGGCTGCATGTGCTTAAGCACTACCTCGATACCTCGCACATCGATCTGTTTAACCAGGGCCAGAAAGCCAACGATCAGCTCCACCCCAGCGACATGGGTCATGCCCGCCGCGGTATTAACCCTGATATTCAAGATGCGGAGATGATCCAGTACTGGGGCGAAGCAAACAATTTTTTTCTTGCGGTCTGGGAAGCCGCTGACTGCGAGGAATTTATCATCAGCAATAATTCGTTCGGACTATGGGAGTCGGTGTCCGCGGGGAGTAAAATATGCCAGTTTCATCGGTTCTATGTCATTTCCCCCAGAATTGCAATTGTTCTATGTTCAGTTCAGTTACGTCCAGACGTACCACCAGTACCAGAGTTTGAATTGATGTATAGAAAGAGTATATTTTGGGGTGCGCCGCATAGGAGCCCAAGGGTTTCTAAGGATGGCCAGCTTGTGGGACGCCAGGCGAGAGTAGCCGGGAGTTATGAGGAGGATATTATGGAATATGAGATTGTGAAGCTCTCAACAAAGTTCACACATTTTATCAATGCAGTGATCATGGGGAATGCTAGAAAGGACACTGGAACAATCACTTTCCGTACCCCGGCCGCGATGCTGAGGACACTAGAAGCTTACTCCAGGAATATGGATTATAATAACCAGGCCTTATACCTACCATTGGTTGAGCAGCTCGTTAAGATGACCGGGGCCAACAGTTCGACTTTCAGGGTCATTCCAAATCCCAACCCCACGAGTAAAACGCGCCCTTTGACATCACCTAAGGCAGACGACTTGCCCAGCTTCTGGGTGATTAATTTAGAAATACTGGACAGAATAGAGGCAGAGAAAAATGACATACATTTGGCAGCTTTCAAGACGCCCCTAAAGAAACTGTTTGAGCAGGCTGCGCTCAAGATTGCGCGGACTCCGCATGATGTCAACCCAAAGCCTGCGCGCCTGAAAAGGGATATGTCAAATGAGGACTGCGGCCATGTCTTTGCGTTGGTGAAGAAATTCATAATGAACTTTTTGGGTTTGGGAATGTCCCCTGTGTTTCCTGAATGTACGATGATCGCATTTTTGAGGTGGCTGTTGGCGGAGAGGAGATTGATGTTCGAGATACTGGAGACGAGGCTCCCGTTGGCGGTGATGCAGTGGGTTTATGATGTGGGTGTTTATTTTTCCCTATCCGCTGACATCTGATCGCTGATTTGATATGAATTTGAGTAGGAGCCGGATAGCGAAAAAAGGGAGGAGGAGTATAGGATTCAAAGGGCCAAGATGTTCCAGAAAAATTGATATTCCCCCCCCCCCCCCCCCTCTCTAGCTCTCTGGACCTTAAACAGTCTGTACATGTTACATTTGTTTGAACTCCGCTTAAATCTCCACAATATCCCTTTTCTGAATAATCAATCCCCCATTAGCTCGCGTGATTCAATGAATTTACTTGGGGGAATTATTATGAAGTACGTATTGTTATGCCTACCAGATCTAACATGTACGTAGATATGGCTCAAGTACGTGACCGATTGACATAATCACGCCGATAACCAAAAGATAGAAGTGCATGTTCGTGGCATAAGCCCTGAGATCCCCTCATATTAACGGGCCTCTTCCTTCACGGGGCCAAACTCCCCTACATCTCAAAGCCCTGGTCAAGCCTGCATGCGCAACTTCAGAGCAGCCATGTTTGTAACACCCAAATATTGACCGTTGGTGGAGTGGTGGTCACTACATGTAGTGTTCTGTGGGGAGGTGTCTATGGGGGCTCACAGTGCACGTGACTGTTCTATTTTTCTCACCCACGCACTGTCACCGCTGGCTTACTGAACCTTAACCTCAGTTAATCAAAAGGCACCAACTTGCCAAAACTATAACAGGTTACTTCATTGTTATCTAGGACAAACACTTTTCTGGTCCGGTACAGTTTGGAGTAATCAAACAGCAGATCGCTGTCTATGGCTCCGGGTCCAGTGAATAGGTTCTTGAGCTTCTCGGATTGGACTATTTACTTTATATCACGAATAGATACCAGGGCAGTAGCGCCTCAATTATCTTCGCACCACTGGATCATTATTTAATAACCAACCTGGAAACTTAAGTAGTTGTTAATGAAACCTCCATATGATGAAGGACATCAATAACTTCACAAGGCTACAAGTATTCATGGACAAGAATGTATTCAATTTTAGATCCTGCAAAGCTCACCCCCCTCTCCTTAATGTACAACTTAGTTAACGGCAACAGAGAAAGCTGACACAGTCAACTTCGCGCTGGTACCAGTGAATGGCTCAGTACCGGCTTGGATGGTGTTAACATAGTACGAGCTCGGCAGGCCGTAGTTGCTAACAAGATAGGTCAAGAACAATTTGGTGTCACCGGAGAAGCTTGTGATTGGGCTGTTGACGGCCACGAAACTGAAAACGCGCATGGAGCCGTTGTAGCCGTCGTAGAGCTTCCACGAGTACCCAGCAATGGTGATTGTGGCAACTGCGCTTCCGGTGGAAGAGATGGGGCCGGCACCACCGTAGGCTCCGAGCCAGATCATGACCTCGTAGGCAGAGGTGCTGCTGCCAGAAGTGGAGGCAAGGAAGATGTCGTAGGCGACATTGGCGACAATAGTACCGGAGTAAGAGTAACTAATCGGTGATTATTAGATTTAGGCTTCAAGTTACCGAAGTAGCTATACATACCTGTAGCTCATGGTAGAAGGAATAGAGGCAATGTTTGCAACCGTCTTAGGGGTGAAGATCAAGTTGGCATTTGCGAAACTCTTGACGTTGTATGACCCACCAGCCCAGGTCCATGAGGTGTGCCACGCAACGGTGGTTCCACTGGCCGAGTCAAGACCGGTACATTGAGAACCAGAGGTGGCTGCGCTAGAGCCCCAGAGGTTGTTATAGATGATGTAGTTGTTGCTCGTGGTTACCGTGTCCCTATATAGGTGTCAATGATTGATCTATGGGCCAACGACAGTAGAGTATCAATTACCATTGTCCGCAGAAATCAGCGGCAAGGGTAACAGCGGCGTTAAGAAGGAGAGAGGCGACGAGTGCGAACTTCATTTTTGCTGGATGGACCGGTTCTTTACACAAGTTTCGGTATGGGGAGCTTGGAGTTCTTGGGAGCAGTTCGTCCTATTTAAAGAAAATCGGACTCTAACTATTACAATGGAAAGAACTGACTTTGACGGAATTCCGGAGCGGACAGAAACGGCCCACGGTCCGCTGTCTCCTTCAACAGCTGTCGAATTATATATTGGGCATGCTTTCCCAGCTACGAGTGGGGATCTTTACTGATGCGTTTCCTTTGCAGCTACCTCCTGGTCTGCAGAATAAATCAACTGGGAGAAATCTCCAGGAACATTTGTTTCGGTGCCTCGGTCGTATATTGTGGGGTATAACGCAGGGTCATATATAGTATGTCATGGCCCTTTAATTTAGCCGGGAAAACCTTCCACTCTTTTTTGCGGACAACAAGCTTCCCCACAATAATAGTACGATATGACCCCACCACAAAGGTTGACCGAGATCATGCTTTCAGTGTAAGATAAGATTCAACAAGAAACCCCATATAAAATTAAGTACTAGCGGTATCGATTAGTGAGCCAAATAGTCCACCACGTTAGATATTCGGAATTGACAGTGGCCGGCTGATCAGGGTTGGGGTTTCTGAACCTGGTTTAGGAATCCTTGTACCGAAAGCTCGCTCCCAGGGGAATCGGAACATTTGTTGCCGATAAATACGGAGGGTTCCTTAGAACTTCCGAAAAGCCACTCCGCTGGCAAAGGTATGATGTATGTGCTTCACTGCATGAAGACTTGAATGCTTTGCCTGTTGCAGAAGGTTCGTATTAGTAAGATTCTGCTCAACCAGTGTGCTCGAACTACACTTCATGGAAAATCAAGTCAAGTTGATATACGTAGACCCTAACCCATCCATCATTAGTATGAAACTTGGTGTTAAACGGTATATCCCGTGGATTTATAGTAGGTGGGCCTTCCGTCTCGGCTTCCCTGCGCTGCGGATATTTCTCCGGCCTTTGTTGCGTGGTAACGGCTCAGGTTTCAAATAACTGTATCCCAGTTAATGGCTAGATTAATCAACGGCTCAAGGATTAATGTGTACATGATAGAAACATGGGCGACCGAGTGCTTTTTCATGCTCGGTTGCTATGCTAGGCCAGTTATCTTATTTCGTTTGCCAAGTTTCTCCCTAACCTCCCTTAATTATCACTTCAACTCCTCGTTAATCAGCTAACTTAGAGATCTTTCATATTTCTTTCGAGCCCTCAATCGCCGCCCAATGGCTCAGGAAATGCAACTTCCGGCTGGCTATTTGACTGATAATAAACGAACTCACGCCCTTATCTGTCCGGCAGAATCCCCAAACCAAAGCTCCCTCGTAGGGTTAATCCGCTCAAAAGTATTTCTGACATGACCTTGATTAAAGAAAAAGAACTTTGCTACCATGCCACTTAAAGAAGCAATAGCATGCCCCACCTCTTCCACTTGGTTAATAATCATTTCATAATTCTCACTGATATGCTAGATCATTACTCTCAAATATAAATATCGAAGAAGGCTTCCAAGAAGACCTAGAAATCCTTCGTGACACATCAAATACCCCGACGGTGAAGGAGAACGCGCATCAGATGTCGATATCAAAGATCACTACAAAACAGTGATGAGTACTGGCAGTATCCGAGTAGGTGGCTAGATAGTATGATCAAGGCTTTGATGGATCACAGACCGCAGGAGCGTGGCGCTGAAGCGTTAGACAGTAACTTTAAATAATTTCTAGGGTTCGCCGTGCGCTAAATTACGTCCCCAGCATAGTCTCCTCGAGCTCTGGCTTAACATTGAACTTGTAGTGTGGTCCACGAGGCTGCTCGAGGCGAGTAGAAGCAAGTGCCTCGAGGTGCCTCTGCCTCGTATGGTCCACGCCTTTGCTTGCTCATACAAAGAGGGGTGATACCTCGAGGTGCTCGAGCTGGCTCGAAGCAGATAATTACCATATTTAGATCTGCCAAAATTGCATTTCATTGTGTTACTGCAGATTTAGGGAAAACTTCTAATGTTCCTATCGGAAATATCAACCCTACTGAAGTCTAGTATACTTATTCGTCAGCGGCTCCGATCAGCAGCTGGTGAGCGACGATACCCCGGTAGCGGCCGTATCTTGCATTTCATCAGCGCGGTGGTCTTTTTCCTCCTTTTAAAACTCACAAGCGGGCTCACGGACCAAGAACCCATCCAGAATGCACCATCTATTTTGTGCCGTCTTTAAGTTCGCTGTCAACACTCACTCTCGGTCGTATAAAAACACTACAGGGACGTCCCTGATGGGTACTTACACTTCTTGTGATCTTCGAGAGCGCCGTCGTGGGCGTATAGGACAGCCACGAGTCCACGAGAAAGGTGAGAGAGACGGTGGCTGGTGTAATTGGGGGCGAGGATAAGCTGTTAGAGACGAGAGAGAGTTGGGCGTTTGGGATGCTGTTATCACAGTTTAGGGTAGAGTATACATTTGGTAGGACAGCGCACAATTATATGGGGCGGAGTAAGTCAGAGACCGAGTTAGATATTTAGGTCCTATGTGAGTGTGGAGATTGACGATTGGCAGCATGTATAGTGATAGTGAGTACGAGGGAAATATTCGGGATGGCAGGGCAGTGAAGTCGAGAAAGACGAAGCCGAAGAAGGGACATAAGAAAGTGTTGAGTCTTGCCGCCCAACGAGAAGGAGGGTTTAGGCCCCGATACAATATGTAGTTAATATCATAATTAAAGTGCAGGGGAATTAAGCATCCTCTATAAAGCTACATCTATAAAAGTAACTTCCGTGTTTTTTCGCAACAGCCAGCCACTCCTACCATGGTACCAGTAATAAAGATGTCCCTGTCTACACACGCGCAAGTCTAAGGGCCAGAGATATTAGTCATTTTATGTTGGAGTGAGCAGTTGCTGATTAGAAGCTAGAGTGGTGAGTTGATTCTGTAGAGTATCAGGAAAGAAAAACTCTCGGTTTTTGCATGAACCTGTATTCTCCCCGTAAGTATACCAGTTGCAGTTCAAGTCCCGAGTGTAAGTATGTATCGATAGACTAAGGGGAAGAATAAAATCTCTGAAAAGAGATAGGAGGTTATATAGTTGTATCGTTTTGCTGGAATAATGCTCGCACATGGCTAAATTTAATGGGCTAGGGGATCGATAGCGGGTTGTGGAAGGGGGGGGGAGAATCATGGAAGAAACTAGGCAGGCGCTGTAGTGGACATTTTCAGGATCGGGCAAAGGAGCAAAAAACAGTGGGTGGTCTTCAGTCATCCTTCGTTCCTATTGAGATTTTTTCAATACTCGCAGCTAAGCATTTATAATTTAATCGTATACGTATAGTACGTAGCTGACCATTAATTATACTTCTCACGTTGACACAATGCTTTGTACCATGGGAACTTGTCATACTAGACGATCGAACGCGCGGTATTCTGCTATAACGTCGAAAGCGCTGTTTAGTTTTTTACTTCTCAAAATGAAAGGTTTTGCACGCCGGAATTCAATCCAAGCTTGCAGAGCTAGCTGGGGAGAACGACTATGGGGCGGTAAATGTGTCAAAAGTAATTTTACCAACGGTAGTAAATTATTTTACCACCGGTGGTAAAAAATAATATCAGTATTTATACCTTATAATGCTAATTTTTATGATAAAGGCACAGACCTTTTGGCCAAAAGGGGCCATATAATGCCAATATATATGAAAATTGTCCACCGGTGGGAAATTTTCATAAGTTTTGGCATTAATGATTGAACATTTACTTATTTAGTATAGCGCAGCATAAAGACCGAAACTCAGTGTTTATACCGGTGGAAATGTACTAATGTAGGATAGCGTGCAGATACAATGACTGAAATTCAGTGCTTATACCACCGGTGGTAAATAATTTACTACCGTTGGTAAAATTACTTTTGACACATTTACCGCTCCATAAACGACGGCTTAGGCATAGACGTTCGCTAGCTAAATAGATTTTAGGCCTGTAATTGGGGCCCTTAATTCGTGTTTTTGGCTATGGTGCAAATGTTTTAGCGGCTACCACAATTAAAGCTGCACCTAACTGGACGCTATAAAATGATATCTTCCTACGATCTCACCTAGTACACTTCACTTAACTACATTTTAATCTCCATTTACTAGGTTAAATAACAACTATTAGCAAAACATCCAGTCAGTTATTTTTCAACAACCTTTCCCAAGTCTCTTCAAGTAATTGTCTATCGAAAGAAGTAATACATATCATTAGTTTGTATGACTATATCCGCCCCTCCATACTTACCTAACAATTCATCATGCATATAGTTAACAGCTATTATTTTATAAACAGAAACCCAGCTACTGAATATATCTTGTTGGACAATAACATTTTTATTCTTAACCGGCCAACCATGTCTTCGTCTGCCATGATTGAAGGGTCTGAAATCCACAGGTAAATCTCTGAACACTCCCTAAACCCAAAAGCGAAGGGAAATTAATACGTCCTTATTATAGTGACCTGCTCCCCCAGCAACCAATCAACATCCTCCCAAATCAATTTCCCATTGAGGATCTTTCATGCGATCTGATCGTCAACGTTATGATGAACATAGGTTCCTTTCGGGACCTTAGGAGACTCATTCGCGTTTCTCCAAAATCTCGCCATCTATTCAAACTGTACAAAAACACCATTCGTAATCAGGTCGCGAAAAATCTCTTCGGGGAATCCTACCAAGCAATTACAACAGTCCTGACATACAGAAACTCTTCCTGTCTACTTGTACGCAATGGACCGGACTACGCCACTTCCGAAGCTCTAGTCAGCAAAGGTTTTATCTTCAATACAACAAATACCAATCGAGCTGATGCTCTACTATGCGCTTTTGAAACAAGTCTCGAGAGATATCGATCGCTCGACTTCGAGATTTTTAAGGACCCTAATATCCCGGAAATCAACAATGAAATTCCTCTCCCCTCTTTCTCACAGGCAAATCCATTCTCTAAGGATCTCTTCTTCCGTACTCTCCGAAGATTTCAGCAGCATATGTTTGAGAACATCAACACCTACATCGAGACCCTGCCAAGCAAGAAAGATGAACTAGACATGTATTGGATCTCGCGAATTATATCTTTTGCCTATGAGCCGAGGGACTTCGGAGTCTTTACAACGTCATGGGGCTGTGCTCTCGACAGTGAGAACTTCGAGGAACTTCAAGGACGTCCCCTGCTATCAGCTAAGTTCGAGAACGAATTCTTGGATGTCGTTGATGAGAGCGGAGAGGACGCGGATGACCAGGTGAATGCATTTTACAACGATTATGATCTGGGAGGGGGCAAGGGCCATATGGCGATGATGATTGCCAAGTACAAGATGAATAGAGTCTACGGATGATTGGTTTTTTCGCTGGGGGAGGTTGTATGTGGATAGTTCGCTAGGTGGTTTCTATGGGTATTATTTCTTGTATGGTCATTATATCGAGTATCTCTACTGTCATTGACTAGGTCACGTTCACTGGTTGGATTTGGATAATCAAAGCATGGACTGGAGTAAATACTCGGAAATAAATGGGTCATAACAATAAGAATCATATGCATCTACATATCCTGACTTAGAATTCTTCTTCTCATATGAAAGTTTGAGCGTCAAAGTCTATCAGCCATGCTTACATGTAGTTACATCACCTTCTCCCATCAAAGAAAAAAAAGACAACAGTCCAACGAAATGATTTTTCTACCTTATTTTGACGATATGAAGACCAGCCAGCCACTTTCACTTCCTTTCATGAAGCTATCCAAGAGTTATTAGAGAATACCATAGCCGGAAGGCTGCATGTACTCAATGAAACAATCAATCAATCAATCGCTCATAAAATGAGAGTTCCCAACGAGTGATATTATATGATTTAACCCTAACCCACACATCACCCTACAAGTACTAGTACGAATCACACTTTTTGTTCAGCTGATACATACATGTAGTTGTTTTCAGCATGAAAACTTATGTAAATAGTATATTTTTAATCAGCTGGCGTAGGAAGAATCATGTAGCTATACGACTGGGGGTGCTCTGGTGCAGCTCTATCTCCTCCTCCTGCCTCTAAACGTCAAGACGTGGTCTGGGACGACTTCAGACCAATTCACCTCTCTGCGATCTGGTCAGAAACGATTACCGAATCCTCATCGGCCACGAGAACAAGTATGGTGTTCAAGAGATTTGGTTTAGTATGCGATTCCACAGCTGGAGGGCAATTAATGCGCCCTCAAAGAGCTAAAAAACAAAATTGGCTTGGTGGCTATAGAGAAGGCCAGTCCCTAGTCCGAGAGTATTATCATAACGCCCAGTTCTACAACAATAACCAGAGAATAGACGGCTGTAAATATTGGCCACCACCAGTCACGGGCCTGAGGGTACAGATCTTTAGAACAGCCGCTGGAGTTGTGATCGTACATTTCGAATAATTCTATACCCGGTCTAAAATCGTAAAGTGCTTATACAGCCGGCCACAGTTCTCATATAGTAACGAAGAACCCCAGATGGCCCATCAATATTCGGATATGAGACCCAAGGATTTTGGTTTTAAGAACTCGCAACTCCGTTCCCCATGACCTACTAACGTACTCGAGTGCAGTGGTTATGAGGTACTAAGGTGGTTGGAGAAAGTGTAAGTCCACAGACCAACTAAAACATTCCTGCCTAGAACTAGCGCTGGTATCGACAGAACCGATCCAATATAGTTGGGAGGATAGAGCCTTTTAACTGCGGTTGGATAGAAAGTCTAGCTGTTTTAGGTAAAGACTTGCAATAGTTCAACCAATAACATGTGCAGGGCCCTTTGTCGAAGTGCTTCAACTCGCGCAATGCGGTAGCTAAGTAAGGTAACTGGTCGATGGAGTACTCTACTGCGGGGCGACGGCGCATATTGGTAGTTATTACTTCTAGCCTTAGTACTGGTAGCCATTATTTCAAGTAGACTCATTACATGAATCATATCCAGCGAGAACCCTTCGATGGGAGTATGTAGTGTACATACACAACCCAAAGCCAAGGATCGAAGAATTCCTATGATCGACACAGATTAACACCAAGCAGTGACATATCCAATACCGCGAACCCGCGTAGACGCGCAGGTTTCTCCAGTTAAAAATACTCTGAGACTGGTTAGCTCAACTGCGAGAACTAAACCACCGAATTTCTTGCAGGTCTGTCCGCGACACAAGCCCTTACCCGGTCCCCCGCCCGCCAGCAAGCTCAATTCATGAAAAGGTACAGCACGGAAACGAGAATCCAGATATTTTTGCTGAAGAATTTTGATCCTGGCTGGTGGTTGTGGTGTTTGGTTGTACATACCGACTTGGCACCCACGGAGGCGCAGATAATCCTGGATCTAGTGGCTGGGCAGTAGCATTGTACTCCTCGGGTGAAACATTCAGTAGGAGTAAACAAAAGCAAAAATGGGATGTACGAGCTGGACATGAACGCCTTGCGACCTTGATTGGGCCGCGGTTAACGGTTGACTACACATTGTGTTCCGCAGCCTTCCTTTAAAGTAAGAAACGGCAACGACAGCCTGTTCGACGTTCGTCCCTAAGGCCATATCTAGCAGGATAAAATTAGTTAAATAGCTGCACTCGCAGGCAAAAATGGAGTTAGACTCTAAGCTCCATTGTATAATTTTTGGGGGAATACTTGTAATTCTTATATCTCGTTTTTAATGTGAAGATATTTCAGTTGCATTTGGAAACGTCGCACGTTGAGTAATACAGTAGAATTACGGTTCAGCTGACTAGACTACCGTGTTTCAAGACTCGATTGGCGCGGAAAGGCTGTCGCGAGGAAGGGTTCGGGAGAGCGTGCATAGAGTGTAAGTAGGTGTTGTGGTCATACTGGATGTTCAGAGTACGTACAATAAACAGATATACTCCATATTCGTGGCACAGTGGCTGAGTTTGAGAACACGGTCCATGGAGTAACAAACGAAGGGGGGCTGCGGAGGACACTCTGGATAACACGCTGGGAAAAATCATATAGGACACGATAAAAATATAAATGCCATGTATGATAAATACCATGTGTTAAGAGTTTAAATATCGGTCCAGTATAAGTAATGAAGAGCTGTCAGAGTAGCACTTGACCACCCTTGGTTTTAGGATTGCGCATGAATTTCCCGACGTCTATCACGGATGCACAATATCCTCTGCACCAGCCCTGAGATCTTCTCCGCCAATTGTGTTTAGTTTCGACACCCATGCCCCTATATACGCGATATTTATATCAGCGTGACTGCAGGAATTAAAGGAACATCCCTTCGAGTTCTACTCTCTTAATTCGCTTCTCTAGCCTCCACCTTATCTATCATGTTCACCCCACGCCGGTCCCGGGCACCAACTTCAATTGAGTATGTCGAGTCCTAGCTCGAGACTGACTCTTCATTTGTAGCCGATATGGAGTGTTAGCTACAGTCGCCCTCTGTTGTAGCGAACCTGCATATTCTAGATTATTCGGTACAGCAGGTAAAATTCTATCATATGTGAAATTCAGATTCGGATCACCAAAACCCGTTCGTTATAGCAGATTTGTAGCTTTTTGGCATTCGGTATAGCGAACAGATCCTGGGAGAAGCTCTCCGCTTGATCATGATCTTTCACTCGTCCGATTCATTCCACTTCTTCGATTCTGTTTCGAGGATCAGTGCACGTACCTTAACACCATGGTCGCAATGTCTCAGACTGTCAGTACCCCAACTCTGCTCCCCACCAACAAATTCCTTTGTTCGAGAGATTTGTGCAATCCATGTATGTACTCGCAGCAGGTAACAAGTACCCGAAAATGCACGTCCTAATCTGCAATTTCCATTGGAGTAGAAGTCAAAAATACACCAAAAACTTGCAGCTGCATATTCGGGTACTTCATGCCTGTCGCGAGTACAGTCGCACCTCGTTATGTCGTTAGCGTATTCTAGAAGCCAAACCCCTACGAGATAGCAAATATACGAGACAGCAAATAGTTTTTGGTGGAGAAGGGCAGTACCTGTCCCGCAAATCCGTACGAGACAGCAAGAGATCCGAGATATCGAATTACGAGATAGCGAGGTGCGACTGTATGTAGGCATCCAATGTCAATGAACAGTAAGTACACACTTTACGTGTTGATAAGAGCACGTGTAGGGATAGCTACATGAATACTTTTAGGTGTGGCATGTGTACCCGACCCTGCTTACATTGGCCGACCGCAAGCGAGCAGCTTTAGAGTAGGCATTCACACTCTGGAAATAGATGCGAGAACTAGTCCCCACGCGGCACGGCACCCCAAAACCAGGGAAACCCTATGTACTCTAGAGCAGATGCACTTCCCAATTCCTCACACAGCATTCGACGAATTTTCGGCACTGTACGATGAGCTGTCACGCACATTTGCCTTTTTCCAGGCCAATTACCATTTCCAGGCCTTTGTGTGCCTTATCTGGGATGAACCCGAATATGAACCCCTGAGCACGAGATCCATAGCCAACCATGCACTTGGAGTGCTACATACTATCTCGACTGCGTACAAAGAAAGAAATATCTCAACTCGTTCTCGGCTTTTACTCCTGGATTCTGAAGATAAGATAAACACCGTTTCTGTCGTTTTATATAAGACAGCTCCGAGGGCCCACCCCTAGGCCTCTTGCTGAGGTCATTTCTGTTTGATCTTCCCGTCGTTCATCATTTGGCGTCTTTATATACCGTTTAATTTTTCTACACGATTTCGTTTCCCTTTTATAGTCCTTTATTCATAATGGTATTTAATCTTATCAGTTAATGGCCTTACCACAAGCTAATATTCCTTAGTCACAGATAGATTCAATCCTCTCATTCCCCAATGAGCTTCTCCTTCTTGTCGCCTCCAACCTCCCTCTCAAAGACCTAAACTCCTTCCTTCGCACCTCACACCGTCTCAATGCCCTCCTCACACCCACCCTGCACCGTCTCGCGGTACAGGATCGCGGCTATGGCTGGTGGTCACCCTTTCCAGCCCTTCACTGGGCTGTCTGGAAGGGACATGCAGGCCTCACCAAGCTCCTCATTGCAAAAGGCTTTGACGTCAACCTCCGTAGTACCTTCGGAGGAAAGACGGCCCTACACTTTGCAGCACTCATGGGGAACCCGGAGATTGTAGGACTGCTATTAGACGCTGGAGCAGACGTTGACATAAAGGATGTCGAGCCCGGTGTTACTGCACTACATGTCGCCGCATTACAGGGTCATGAGGAGGTGGTCAGGTTATTGATCAAGCGCGGCGCAGATGTGAGTGTTAGTGACCACATAGGAAGGACACCTCTAGTCTGGGTCGCGAGATATGCCGGTGTTGGTAAAGCTGTCGAGGGCGTGTTCAAGACGCTGGTAGAGAGCGGAGCAGACGTTGACGCGGGCGAGAGGGAGTGTGGAAGGACATGCTTACATTGGGCTGTCGAGAAGGGGTGGAAGAGCGTGGTAAAGATGCTAGTGGACGGAGGCGCCAGCCTCACGGTCTTGAATGGAAAAAAGGAGACTGCAATCGATTGGGCGCTGAAGAACGGTGATGATGAGATAGTGAGACTATTACTTGAGGGCGTAAGGGAGAGGGAGAGTTCACTGGGCATGGTGGGCAAGAGGCTGGCTATCGCTGTTTGATTATTTCCCCGCGGAGCTCAAAAGTCACGGCGTTTTGTTTTATTTTGCTATTTTTTTTTTCTCTCTCTCTTTCCCTCGAGCACGCTCGCGACCCTTATGCCTTATGCCTTGTATGCCTCATGTACGATATCTAGTGGATAATGATAATCATTGGTCGGCCATCTACCATGCTCATCTCCCTGCGCTTCGGTTCGATCTGGGGTTATTGGTACCGGGAACGGTACCATCTCGGCTAAAAAAAGAAGATACGTGATGAGAGAGCCCCACAATTTGTTTACATCGCAAAACCAGCCAATAAACAGCCGACCAGTACGTCCGCGGCTGCGGCTTTCCCTTCTCGGCGCGCAAACCTGCAGGCCGAGTGATGGCGGGTGATTAGGCGAGTCTACGGCGCGGTTAGCTTTCCTGTCGCACTTTCTCTATTTAGCCTTAGTAGGCAGCAATTGGGCATGAACAGGTGAGGTGGGCGCTGGGCGTCGGGAGGCAGGTGGTGAGTGAGGGCGGTGGTTCGCAATTGTTTGGTTTCAACCGTTTCGTACCGGCCGTAACTTGCAGCGCAGTGCAGTGCAGTCAGTGGTTCCTGCCTGACCCGGGCCCGGGGCCGGGGGCACGAGGTAAATTAGTCTGTAGCCTTTTTTTTTTTTTTTTACTCGGCCCAATCGGATGGAATGGGTGATTACGTGGGTATTTGAATTGGCTGTTAATTTAGTTGTTGACAATTGATTAATTAATTGATTAATACCGCGGTTCAAAGTACCTGCGTACGCGGGAATGTTGTTTTCGGCTTTGGTTTACTTGCAATTGCTGGTATAGATAGTATGGAGGACGACTGGTATTTTCAGATGTCAGTTTTTACGATATCATGCTATGGCTCGCTCGCTGGGTGCAGATAGGTATGGGGTGAATGAGGTACATACATGTATGTGAGTGTAGAGTAGAGTATTGAAAGTCCTGCTCATTTAAATCCCACTCTTGAGAGTTCATCCGATATCTACGCATACAAGCCTAAGCCCGTGCTCTGCAGCTTTCAATTTCTTCCCATGCAGGCCCACGGGAATAACCGGTACGAAGAGATAGCGCATAAGTATTTATTCTTTCAATAATTTATTTTATTTTATTTTATTTTATTTTATTTTATTTCCCTCCCCCTTAAACGCAGGGTGGGTGTGCTACATAATCATAAAAATCGTAATACATATCTGAGAGTACTGTGTAAGTACTTGTATCTCTAGCTCTACTGTAGCCCATCATCATAGATGTACGGCTATAACCAGTAGGCAGTTAAGTCGATAAATTGAAATCGGCACCTGCGATATCAATATTTCATTACAAAGGGCTTCATGCAACGAGCCCCCCCCCCGTATCAAGAACCCAAAATTCTAGAGCTTGGAGCTGGGTAAAGGATGTCCTCTCCGCTATGCTCGTAACCTCTTAATCCACCCCCCAATATTAATACTCTTCCTCCCCTTCCGCTCCCTCTGATACACCCACCTCTTCAGCAGCCCCACCATCTCCCCATCCCCCCACTCGAGCGCCCACCCCACCGGCGTCCTCAGCTCATAGAACGTCGGCGCCACCACACTCGCCCCGCGCTCCAGCAGCCACTCCACCGTCTCCTTCCGCCCCTTCACCACCGCCCAGTGCAGCACCGACGCGCCGTACTCCAGATCACACGAATTGACGCTCGCGCCGGCCGCCAGCAGCGCGCGGAACACCTCTACCAGCTCCCGGCCGCGTGGCGCCGACCGCGACGCCCATAGGATGGGCGTGCGCCCCTTGTAGTCCTCGATGGAGGCGTCGGCGCCGCGCTTGAGGAGCAGGCGCACGAGCGGGGCGTTGCCGCCGGAGACGGCGAGGTGCAGCGCGGTCTTGCCGTATGTGATCTCGGAGGGTGTGTTTATTGCCGCGCCGTTGTCGAGGAGCGCGCGCACGGCTGGTGAGTGGCCGGCGAGGACGGCATAGTAGAGTGGCGTTTTGCCGTTGAAGAGTGAGGCGCGGGAGTTTGCGTCTGTGCTTGTGGTGGTGAGGAGGGTGATGATGGTGGTGGTGTCGCCTTTGAGGGCGGCTAGGTGGAGCGGGGGGAGTTGGGAGAGTGGTGGTGGAGGTGGAGGGACTTGCTGGGGGGTGATCAGGGAGAGGAGGTGTCGGTGCGCGTGGGTGAGAGATGAGAGGGACTTCGGGTCCAGATGCGTGCTGATTAGTATGAGGAGAGGGTCCGGGAGTGAGAGCAGTGAGGTGGAGGTCGGAGCGAGGAACTCGGGCGGGAGTTTCGAGGCGGGAGGTCTAGATGGCGGTGAGGCCGGCGGCGAGGGAGGCCTCTGTGATAAGTTATAGGCTGCGCATGCTTTCAGTGTTTCTCCGAATGGATATGGCGGTAGTTTTGTTCTGCCCATGATATGGTTTCTGCCTGTCTCTCTGTAGCTTTTGGTAGCGCAGTTCCGTCCGTGTATAATATGTCTGTACGATATGTAGACAATGGAAGGGGAAGGGAAGGGAAGGGAAAGAAAGAAAATACCAACTCAATTCGAATCCAGGCCACTTTGTTGTGTCGGGGGGTGCCCACCTACTCTAAGTACTCTAAATTATTTCTGCTTTTTCCTCTCCCCCTTCGTGTGTGGTTCCTGTCCGTTAACCCACGATATTGATAATTGGCTATTTAGGTATGTTACACAGGAACAGCTGACTGTGGCGGAGAAAACTATGGATGCATGGCTGTACGTGAGGCTGGTGACGGCGTTCCTTGCAATCCTCAGACTTGCCCCCCCGTTGGAGCTTAATGCTGTGCCTGTCTATATATAGAGCCCCATTAGCTAGAGTCGAGAACAGAGCATGAAGAATAGTGGATAAATGGAGAAATCTCAAAGAATCGAGAGCTCAAAGCTCCAGAAGAAAACTCATTTAGTGCCATGTCTAAAATTAGATTTCCAACGACTAGGAGGCAAAAAACCCTGTTTACGGTTTACCTAGTATGTAGTCTAGAATAAACCAACCCCAGGGTAGCTTTTCCTGTGCGAATAGCGTTGTTTTTTTGTTTTTTTTATCGCGTTTCAAAGTGCTATTTTTCTCCCATCGATCATGATTTGTAAATATATATGTATCTCGATGCTGCTGCTTCATGACGTGGTTTTACGGGAGATAGCCAGCGAGCGTCATGACTCGAACATCACATGATCTTGGTTCCGAGTCATTGCCATCAGGTTGTCCAAAATAAAAATATAGATAAAAACGAGTACCAGCTGCAGCGAGCGAGCGAGAACCAATCTGTGCGAACGGCAAACATATTTTTAGACCTCATGATTATGATGGTTGATAACCCGTAAATCAGTGACGACGATGTCAACCATACGAGTTTCAAAATAGCAATTAATTGCGACTCGTAGAGCACAGTGATGAGTTTTGTAGTTCCATTGACATTGGCTCAGGGGAGAAAGCAGGAGCTCCATTAATTCTGTACTGTAAAAAAGCTTTGTTAGCACCCGCGGCCGGTAAACGGGGGCGAAGAAAAGACAAAAAAGAAAAAAAGTCCCCACGATACAATATGATCGGGTTCTGGAACCAGGTTGAGAGGAAAAAAACATCAACATCAAACGGCTGACATCAATCGGCCCCACCCCCCCCCCCCCCCCCGGGGCCTTCCTCCCCGCCGCCGCCGTCTCAGCCCAGTGTGGTGCAAAGGGTCCTTTGTGACAGGTTGGTGGTGCACTGGAGACGAAAGCAAAATCGCAGCCCTGAGTACGTACGGCTGAGTGAGGCCTAGGGCCCACAAACCAATAGTTCGGTCCCACCTATCACGGCCTCCGAATCCATGGATCCAACCAAGTGAGCCTCGCATCTTATGTACCCCTCATCATCCATCGCCGTACTCCACCAGGGCGACATCTCACTGCATTACTCATGAAGAAGTTAGAGACGGCGCCTTATCGCAGGATTGGCGGGGCAGCTTGGTGCCTAGCTAGCTAGCTGGCTAGCTTGACGACCTTTGAAAATCGGTCCTGATTAAGTTCTGCGTCAGGAGAGATCATGGCGAATAGCCACATACCGCAATAAATTCGTTAGCAGCTCTGTGAGATCAAAGTTACTTTTATGGGAAACATCTGATCAAGATCGATGATGCCACCCAACCAATCACTCGAGAGGTAATCCCTGTGCAGAGATAACAAATCATGTTGGTGTTTTGTTCCTCGCTGAGATGGGATGGGACGAAGAGTTGATGTTGATGCCAGACATCTAATCCCCCCCCCAGTCCAGTGTCTTGTGTCGACGACTCCCAAGGCGTTGGTTGCTCCGACGCACCGGGACTGGGACTGGGACTGGGACTGGGACAACATCGACAACGAAAACCAAAACAGAGACCGAGTTATTGCTCATGACGCAATCCAGGCCATACTCTACACACTATAGCTACTCTAGCTCGCGATCGCACCGCATCCCGTCCCGTCCCATCTGATCTCCTTCCATTTGGCAACTCCACGTGCTCCCTCTCCCTTCCCGGAGCTTTCGTCCGTTAGAGATATACGATGCCATGGCAGAAATTAATTGGGTTGAAATTAGCAGCTACAGTAACACCAGCTACCAAGCAAGCAAGCAAGTAATCAACCACATGAGCGGCCGGCCCCCCAACACCCACCCCTCTCCCGACCCACCGCACCCCCCAAGGAACAGAAACAATCCTACCGCGCCCTCGGGTCCTGCTGCATCTGAACCACCTCTACCCTCCATGTCTTGTCTTGTATATGTCAAACCAGTGATCTCGGCTTTCTCCATTAATATAATCCCACTCAAACTCAAGTAGAGTACATACATACTTCGAATTCAGCTCGAGCGGCGCGGCGGCGCGGCGGTCGGGGCAGGCAGGACGTATGGACCTCTGTGAAGGTAATTATAACGCTCAATGCCAGTGTCTTGGTTGACGAGAGAGGGAGAACCGTGAAGGTGTAATAGGAAGGGTGGTATAGCTGTTCTACTTGTATTTTACAATGAATACAGTGTTGTGAGCTATTGACTTTTAATTACCCTTGTCGATAGTATGGACTGCGTGTCTGTGGACTGGCAACTGCGTGTCTCTGAACGGAGAGGACTATCTTAAACCGTGATGGTATTCAATTGCGTACATAGAAACTAATTGAAGTTTTAAGTACATGTATGTATACACGTGAGATCTAAGCCCCAAAGCCATTCCAAGCCAATCCACCCATCCTTTCCTTCCCTCCTCACCATACCGCTAGGCAGGTTGATTCAACGATACTCCGTACCTCCATACCGTACCACCAAACTACACATAACCAATGAGATCTATATAGTAACCACACAACGACAGCAACAACAGTAGCAAGGAAAAATAGAAATCTATAAGGTGTTCGTGATATTCATAGTCAACGCATAAATCTTCGTAAAGGTAGAAACAAACGAAAAAGAAAAAGAAAAAAAAAACAGTAAACAAAAAAACCACCCTCCACCCTCCGTGAGTTAGCCAAGGCCTGCAGCTGGTCAATTACGAAACGCCAAATACCTGGCCGTCAACAGAAAAAATAAAGTTATGTGTGTAAAAGTAAAAGTAAAAAAGTAAAAAAAACATTACGATCATGTGTCGAGATCAAATGTACATCTATAATCGGGTTATGATAAGTAGAATCAAAGGTGTTATATATCAAAAAGAGTAAATAAAAAAAAAAGTGAAGTATGCAGATATACTAAAGGTTAAAGTTAAAAAAGGAAAATGGCGTAAATGTCGTAAAAGTGTTTCATGGCCTTTATGTGATTAACCAAAACCAGGCAGTTCGTATGTGTGTATCTATGCCCAATTGAAACCAGAGGCAGGAATGGGTCTACACAACGAGATATTAGGAGGTGGTGGTGGAGTTGTAAACGTAAACTCTCGCAAGTAACGTATAAGGAGATATTAGGGAGCCATCTCAGCCCCAGTATTAAAACATCCTCTTCCTTCGACTCGTATCGTCTTTCTTTCCTCGGAGCCGCTAGCTGCAAAGGCAATAACCCCAAGAAAACTCAAGGGCCAGGATCGAAACCGCTCAGTAAAAAAAGGCCGTAACCTTCCACTCCCCCACTAATACCCCGCCATGCCCCCCCCCCTCCCAAAGATCCTCTCCCCCCTGCTCACCATCCCCCCCGGCGCCAGCCCCCTCCCCCTCCCCTCGCCCCCTCCCCTCGGCCTCCAATGATAATCCTCACAGCTATTCCCGCCCATATACGCCATCGGCGTCCTCCCCGCATCATCCCTCACCGTCACACTCGCCCCCGCCGCCACCAACACATTACACACCTCGACCCGTCCCTCCAGCCGCGCCAAATGCAGCGGCGTCTTCCCATCAAACGTATCCTGGGCATCGACCTCCGCCCCGCGCTCCAGCAGCACCTGCACAACGCCGTCATGCCCCCAGCGCGCCGCATGGTGCAGCGGGGTCGTCCCATGGACGAGTGTTCGTGCATTCGCGTCGTGCCCCTGCTCCAGCAGCCGCCGCACGAGCGCGGTGTGCCCTTTCCAGGCGGCCCAGTGCAGCGGCGGGAAGTCGAGGGCCGGGTTGAAGCCCTGCGCGGCCATGGCCGAGTGCTGGAAGAGCGGGGTGATGAGGCCCGCGAGCGCGCGGGAGGAGAGGAGGAGCGCGTGCTGGTCGTCGAGGTCGAGGTTGGAGGCGATGAGGAGGATGATCTCGGCGGGGAAGGTGAGGAGGGGCAGCTTGGACTTTAGGCTGCTGCGGTGCGGGTGGCGGTGGTCGTGGTGGTGGTGGTGGTGGCTGTGGTGGTGCGGGGAGTAGGTGTGGTGCTTCTTGAGCGTGGGGCGGGGGAGGTGCTTCCAGGGTTTGCGGAGGGGTTTGGCCTGGATTGTGGTGCCGGAGAGGGAGATGGGGGTTGTCTGGCGGATGGGGGGGAGGAATTGCGGTGTTTGGTCTTTGTCGGCGGCGGTGGTGGTGGTGGTGGTGGTGGTGGTGGGGGGTTGGTGGTGGTGTTGCTGTTGTTGTTGTTGTTGCGGGGCAGCGGGCGGCGTCGTCGTCGAGTCGTAGCTCAGCGGGCGGTAGCGGCGGGTTGTCGCCCTTGCGTTGGGGATCTTCTCGCTCGAGCTGTCGTCGCTGCTGCTGTTGCTGTTGCTGTTGCTGTTGCTGTTGCTGTTGCTGTTGCTGTTGCTTTTGGCTGCTGCTGCGTGGTGCCCGCGGAAACACGATCTGAAGAACGCCCTCACCCTGCTTCTAGTTCCCCGGCTTCCTCCACTTCGCTCTCTCTCCTCCTTCTCCTCCTCCGACCTGGGAGAGGCGCGGAAGTGGATATGTGACATTATTATTATTATTATCCTCGAAATATCAATATTATTTTTCCGAATTTTATCTCCTAGTTCGTATTTCGTATTTCTGCTGAGTGTTGTTCTGTGTGTGAACCGTCCGTCCTATCCCGAAGAGAGGGGGGGGGGGGGGTGTCGACTTTTTGTGCAAATTTCTTCAATCTTCCCTTTTTTTCCCACCGTCTGTCTCGATCTGTCTGTATGGTGTTGTTGACACGATGTTATGATCAGATACAAGATCCAAACATGCAGGCAAGCAAGCAAGCAAGCAAGCAGGACGATGGCACAGGTAGCAGGCAGGTACTTGTATCATATCATACTGCTCTGCGCTGCTCTGCTCTACAGGCTACCTTAGCAGAGTACCTACCCTCCTCCACTCTCGGTACTCTGTCATGGCAGGCACGTAAGTAAAAGCAAGCAAGTACTCGTGCATATCTGCAGGCATCACGGTTTTACCAGGGCAGGGCAGGGCAGGGGGAGCAAGCAGGTAATAGGTAGGTAAATGGGCTGCATGGTGGGGCACCATCCGAGCACCTCACCTCACCTCACCCCCCTCCCCTCCCCCGTAACACCCCCCCCCCCCCCCCCCCGGATGTGTGATGTCCAGAGGTACATACTCTAGAGGGGAGTATCATGTCTATCGATAATCTCCCCTAGTGCCTACCGTTGGGGAGCATTCAGGGTGGTGGTGCCCATAGGCTCAGGGCTGCGTTCCACCCAGGGCCGTGTTTCCTACCGCAGCAACAGCAATTAATTGATCAGCTTCTCACCGATAGATAGAGGGACAAAACAACTGCTGGCCAGCTGTTTAGAATGGAGCAGCTGAGCTCAGAGATAATGATAATGATAAGGGGCAAAAGAGGGTTTTTTCCAGCAGCCAAAGAAATACATACTCTCCATCCATCGCATCTCTCTGCTCCATTTGTTTCTCGCACTTTACCCTTTGACCGCGGTACCCCGGCCAATCCCACCCCCGTCGCCAGACTTCAGTCAGTCCAGTCCAAGTCCAAGTCAGTTCATCAATGCACCCCCGAGCGAGCGAGCGAGCGAGCAAGCAACCCTCAAACACACACACACCCTCACACACACGCACAACCCTAACCACCTCCACTCTAGCCCCCACTTTACTCTATCTATCTATAATTTACTCCTGATGATCCCAGATGCCCGCCCGTTGCTGCTGCAGACATTTTCGTCTGTGTAGCCCACCTACCCACCTACCACGTCAAGCGTCGTTACATGTCCGAAATAACATTACAGCAAAGTATGTATGCACATACATCACGCAGACGACCACCTCTCTCTCTCTCTCTCCCTCTCTCTCTCCCTCTTTTTCCCTGCGCGTTTTTCATCAGCCCTGGCCTGGTAGTTCAATCCAATTCGTCCTGCTGGCGAGCGAGAGCGACCGAACCCGACGGACGGACGCTTGGACCATCTGGAGTAGGCAAGAATACTCTTCTCCCTACCCGATCTATGCATGTCCTCCAGTCTCCAGTCTCCAGCACCACTCTACCTACAGCACCTACTACTACTACTACTCCGCAGTAACGAGTGGCAGAGAAAGGGAAGGTGGCAGCCAGTTAAGCCGCCGCCCCTGCTCGTTTTCCCCGTCGCTGATTTGGCGCGCTTCCGGCTCCCGCCTGTAAAGTAAGGCATGTAGGGCTGAAACTGCCCTGTGCGGGGGTGGTGGAGGGTGTGGGAAGGGTGTGGGTAGGGATGGTTATCCGAGAGGGAGGGGATATACGGTAGGTGGAAGTAGCTGCGTGCATGTAGGTAGAGATGTAGAGTGGCTGTAGAGAGCAGGTAGAGCACAATCTGGAGGGGTCGTACCTGGTCTGGTCTGGTCTGTCTGGTCTACAGGGCAGGGCAGGGCAGGGCAGGGTGTTTCTACACGCAGACAGGCAGGCAAGCAGGCAAGCAGGTAAGCAGCCAGGCAGCAGCCTGGCAGAGTAAGTAGAGTGAATATGGAGTAGGTACACACAGTACTCTATCAATCGTACATTGTCGTACATGCTCTCCCCAGCTAGCATGCTACAACGGTCTCTACCCAGCACTCTAGGTAGAGAGAGTATGTAGAGTAGATACATGCATGCATGCACTTAGCTGTACTCTGTACTACCTACCCTCTACTCTACTCTCTCTCTCTACTCCACCTCCACCGGCATGCTCTACCCTCTCTACTCTACTCTACTCTACTCTACCTACCCTCCTCTACCTACCTGTATGCACCACCCTCGCTCACCTACAGAACCTCCCACCCTCCACTGCAGCCCAGAGTACCAATCCGACACCACATCCTATCTCTCGGCTCGACCAGACCCACCCGGCAAGCCCAGCCCAGCCCAGCCCAGCCCAGTGCCCGTTTCGGCCAGCACTGGCAGGGTTAGGTGATCTTCCCATCTGAGATGTGGCTTTCTTAGCCTGATCGATCGCCGCGTGCTGGCTGGGCTGGCGGTCGATATGGGGAAGACGCTTGATGCGGATTGGTGGGAAGGGTTCGATCGTCACTCGGTTTGCCTGCGGTGCTTGGCGGGGCGTGGGGTGGGTGAGGTGTGCGCTGGTGGGGTTGGACGGGGACGGGGACTGACGGGTGGGGACAGGAAACTGGATGCTGTGCGGGGGAGGGTGGCATCGTAATATCTCTGAGATTGCAACTGCAATAGTGAGTGTGGTTATAGCTGTAATAATAATAATAATAATAATAATAACTCTAAATGCTATACCACATAGATACACGTAGCTACCACGATTCGCAGATTAAAACAATGCCAACGCTTTTTAATTACATATACAAAAAGATTAACTACATACACAATTGCAGCCGTCTACCCAAACACTACATAATACAAACGCAGACATCACATTGCAATTTGAACAAATCCCCAGCCCCCCCAATGCAGCTAATTGCCCGACCCAGCAGTAAGGTTCCCCGCCAACCTCCTAAACCTCAGCGTCCCCCACACCGCATTATCCCCCATCGTATTCCACGTGTTCGTCTGCTCAAAGCTCTGCGCCATCAGGTGCTCCCTCACATACGGCATCTCCTTGCCCTCCTTCTGCGCGTAGTGCGCATATGCAATCTCATACACCGGCGGGAACTGCGCCCTCGACACATTCGAGATGACCTGCCACGGCCCGCCGACCAAGTTCGCGCCGCATCTGTAGAAAGCCGGGTCGTAGTCGACGGCGTAGCCCAGGTTGTACTTGGCCGTGTACTCGTAGCCCGTCCGCAGGCGGTCCTCGTACAGGCCCCAGTAGTCGGCGTCGCCCTGGTTCTCGGCCGTCAGGCAGATCTCGGCCATGTTGCCGAGGCCGAGGGAGGTGTGGCCCTGGTCGCGGCCCGACTCGCTGTTCTGCCCAAAGCTGTTGATCTGGTTGGTGATGTTTGCGCACTCGTGGTGCAGGTAGTGGTTGAGGCCCTCGTGGTACATTGTGCTGTTGTCCAGGAAGACGCCGAACGCCACAAGCGCCTTTTCGGCGCTGGTGCCCCAGTTGGCAAGGCTTGAGTAGCGTCAGTGATCGCCGCCGCTATGTTATGCTCTGTGTTTGCGGGGAGGTACGCGGGGGGGGGGGGGGGATTAGGGGGACTCGGGGGGAAGTGATCACTGATCATGATCATGAGGGAGGTGGCTTACAAGGGGTATTGCTGCCATGAGGTAGGCCACGTCTGGGCAGCGTGCGGGTAGAGGACGTTCAGCACCATGCTCTTGAACTTTTCAATGTCAGCGCTGCCCCACCCATCGTAGTACGCACGGATGATTTCCGCCGCGTTGACGAACTGCGGGCCGTAGAGGCCGGCGGTCAACTGCGCGTCTGTTCCATTCAGCTTTTCTAGGGTGTTTGCCCAGCCGGTTAGGATCTCGGTGGACTTGATGGCGTGGGCCTCGTCGCCGGTGATGTAGTACCTTTTTATATACACACCCCCGGATCAGTACGGTCGGTGCCAAGTCCAGATCTAGAGTAGGGGTAATTCGGAGCAGCAGCAGCGGGGGAGAAATGAACCCCCAAAGAGAGAGAGAGAGAGAGAGTGGGTGGGGACTCACATCAGTGCGTTCTGGAGAGCTGCGACACCGTCATAGCTAAACTCCGTTTTGCCGGTTTGTGTGCCTGTAACGTTCCTTACGACATAGGGCAAGGGGCCCATCATTGTGTAGGACGAGGACGAGAGCTCATTGCTGGAGAATGCGACAAAGGCGGGATACCAGGGGTCGAGCTTCTGGGCGACTGAGGTCTTCATACGCTCGAGGTCGGTCTCGGTGTGAAGGATGCTGTGGGAATGGTTAGCTCTAGGCCCAGAAGGGAATTAATATTCTAATATTAACGTGGTTGATACTGACCCAGGATGGACAAACGTCTTTTCGACCTGTTTGCGAGTATGTTGTTTATAGTTCCCACGAGCACAGAGCGGGCTTGCAAGCACAGCTGTTGAGGCAGCGAGGCCGAGAAGTGGTAGTGACCGCAGAAAAAACATATCTAATCTATATATATATATATATGTGTGTTCCTATCAGGATTTATGCTGCCGGAAAGCTATTTTGCTGAATTTATGGGAACGTATAAATTTTGTTCCCAGAGGCGCTCATGTTTATATATGTGACGTCCTCCTCTAGATCTCCCCCGCGCACCCCTTTCTGTTTCTTTGATATTTTCCCCATCTCGACAAAATATTTCAGGATCATCCGGGCACTGGTAGCCGGACTACCCTGCCTCGCTAACCGATCCCCCCTTCGTTTCTGCTATACAACGTCAGTAGTACTGCCACTCCAAAAGCTTGCGCCAGGCAGTAGGATTGTAGACGTCGGCGGCGGCGGAGAAAGCCCGACAACTACTCCGCCAATAAACAGAACCGCATCTCGGGGGACGCAAAAGCAATCTTCCATAAACAAGGCAGGGATCTCTCCCACGTTGTTTTTGTGGAGAGAAAGGGTGGGGAAGACGAAAGGGTGGGGGGAAAAAGGCAATTGGTGTGTTGCCCCTGATGAGCAGCGCAGTCCCGGTTGGTACTTGGCCGATTCCCGAAAGAACCTTCTTTGATGTTTCCATGGTCATGATCACAAGATTGATCTCACTGTTCTTGGGGTACTTGAACGGCGAGGGACTCCGCCTGTAACTCCGCACCCCGGTGTGGCTTGTTGGAGTATGGAGGCGTATGAATAGTAGTGCTGCCTTGCATAAGTAATTATTTGGCTGTTGGCGAGCTCTAATGACTCAGCAGGGATTTACATAGTGGGTTGGGGGGGGGGGGGGGGGGGTGTTGCTGCTAGTGACGGTCCAGTCCTTGCAACAGTCCATTAAGATTGCCAAGAGTAATCCGATTAGTTCAACCGGCGATATACATATCAGATCATTTATCGCTCTATTCTCCTTAAATGCATATGTTGAATTCGCAGGACCTCTGAGCATCCCCAACTACCTACCCAGCTACGGAAAATTCGTCATGGAAAACGTCATAAACAGGCCAATATCTCCCCTTGAAGCGTCGTGGAAGGTTAGGATTCAATAGAGCGGGAGACTGGAGATCCGGCGTCCCGGAAAATTGTCCAGCAGGAGACGTGATGAATTGTCTATTGGCTAGCTGCATGTTATTGAGAAGGGGCGCCGAGTACCGTATCTCATTTCGAAGTGATGGTTAGGCCGAATAGAGCAGAGATAATCGTTCGTACTATCTATCACATAATCAACCGAAAAAGAAGGTAAGGATTGATATGTATGGTTAATTATAAGTAGCCCCAGCAGTTCTATGGCAGTGAAGTATACGGATTAAAGAAATATTACATGTGATACACTTGAGGTGGTGTTGAGTTGATCGTTAAGGTTAGAAGAGTTTGGAGTGGGGTGTTGGTAGCTAGTTAGCAGTATATATACTTGGAAAGAAATTTGCAATATTAATGGCACAACATACCTCCATATATAGTCTTATCCCGGCCGCAGACAACATCCTACTTCAAATAGCCTCCTTATATCGATACCAAACTCCCACACCAGAGAAACCCCCACCTCAACATTCCTACAGTCTCAACCCTCGGGTTTCAACATATGTCAGCCTCGAGGTGCTCAGCGATGGCATTTTCTGTTCATCCTACAAGATATGATGTGAAAAATATCTGTCTTTGAAACGCATAGAGAACATATAGATGTGTGTATAACCTGAAGCATTTTGATAATCTGGCTAACTATGCACAAACCTATCCAGCGATACAGCATTTTTTTTTTGTTTAATTCACAGCGATACAACATTCTCGTTGTGAATTTTGGCACCACTGCCAGGAACTCTGTTGAATAGGAGCGCGGGCGACAGTGCTACGCTCTGGGTACTTCCATAAGAAACATCAGTTTGGTTAAAACACCGGTTCCATCAGCCCTCGTGTCAGTGGCTTCGAATCAGTGGTGACTGTACTTGTTAGCCCGCATGATTGATTGATTGATAATTCATTGATTGTATGCAGCCCGGAGGTTATGACAATATCTAACATACTTTGTTAGCCCACATCAAATTGTACGCCAGTACCTCGAGGACAACGTTAACCTAGATGATCGTTGCAAAAATAATCCATTTGAGTGATAAGAAGAATATCGTCGCATATCAACATTTAATGTCTGCATCCGCACTTTGTGCTAAGTTTAAAGCCCCAACTAAGCATAGGCGTGGACGGACGATCACGCGAATTCCCATTCACACAAACCTTTCCATGCTTATGTGCATGTGGAGATGTAAACGCTACAAAAATAGCACATCGTATATCAATAGAAATAGTGAGCCGCTTATCACCGGTACCCATAATTAAATAATCACTGATAATGTAGAAAGTAATCTGGATGCCATCTTCGGGTTCGTTCTCTGCTACTGTAGGGCCGAGGGCCAACTCGCTGTTCTTGAAATCATGATAATGACTATTGGTAGCGTCAAACTGGTGGAGAAATGGAAACTCGCAGATTGATAATTACTTTCACCTTCGAACTGTATTGAGGTAACTGAAACTTGTACAATGATAGCAGCCTGGGCACTAGAGCCTCGAGATTCGTCTTCAAATATCACTATCGAAATAAGATTTGGGGGAATTACTGCCGTTACCGTGTTGAAGAATGTGATAATATGGGGATCCATTTTTACATGTGGCATCAGTTCTAAATCTGAATGTGCGAGGCTAAAACTAGGTGTAAAATCATGTGAGCACTGTTTTTTCTGGCATTAACAGAATGAAGGGTTATCAGTTAGGCGTGAATTATATTATAAACCGTTTTTCCCTCTCTCTTGTCTACTCTTCTTTTAATAGAAACGTAGCCAGCATACTCGCCCAAATGGCCGTATATTCGATTGACAGTATTTCTGGAACCTCTTTATCAACCTGGGAGTTTATTACATCCCTGAATTGTGTACCCTGCTTCCGCCGTAGATATCTTGCAGGACCAGAGATAAACTACCAAGCCAGTGCTGACGCACCCTGATGTGGTAATCAATAGATAGTGTACCGCTTATAAAACGAGGCGCAAAGGCCAGCAAAGCGATGAGCAGTTCCACTATGCTTGTGATTGACAATTCAGCCTGGTGCTAGGATTTTATGGACCAAAAAGGGGCCATTATTTCTCGTGATATAGATATTTGCTGTAAAGTTAATTTTTCTTATTGTATAGTTCCACACAGAGCCCAAAAGAAGCAGAACACGCGAGCAAGCCACCATTTTCGTATCGCGGCCTCCTCCTCATTTCCTTTCTTCATGTCATGCATGTAGCCGGTACATATGATGAGTCGATTGATCATGCTCTGGCATTCGAGTAGGTAGTCTACCTGGTAAGTTGATTATAGACAATGTTCGCATACCATATATACTTCTATCAACTTCTGCGGATGTCATGTGGTCTTTATACAGCTGCCGCTCGATGTGGCACCCTGTTGGGCTATTATAGAGATAAGTGTCCTTCATGTCAATCAACAGCCATACCAGTCAATACCATCAATATCCGTACTACTGCCACTTCTCTTCTTTCCTGCAGACTCAGAACCAAATCCGGAGTCTGAGATAACGCGGTTTTTAATTGAGCCAGACCCTCTAGAAGCACTTAAGCTTGCTAGCTTAGAATACAGTGCAGGGTCGAGCGAGCGGGCCAATGATCGAAATTCCAAGATATCCCGACCCTTACAGCCAAAGAAGAGACGCCAATAAGTAATAGACTTTGGATAGGAATGTGGTTAGCTACTGCCTCAAAGGAAGCCTGGTGGTATTCGAGGTGTAGAATTAGCTACCAGCGAATCGAAGGAGCCAATGGGGGAGGGTCGAAAAGAGATGGATCATCTCGTAAAAATATGCTGAACTGAATAGATAGCATTGTATCTGCGTCTACCCGGTTTGTTTCGAGGCTAGGTAGAATCAGTGAGGTCCTATGAAGATGGAAATTCGAAAACGGCATGCGTAGAGGAAGGGTGGTCATCCATGTCTTTCATACCGATGCACTAGTCAGGGTAGACGTTATAACGTGTTTCATAAACGACATCTAGATCTGCTAGCTACATGTAGTCCAGTGAAACGGCGGCGTTATGTCCGCGATTAAGACAATGTGTGGTCTTATATTAGCTCGATGCCAGTTAACCCAAGGTTCAAACCTAAGCATAGCTCCGGGTAATACTTTTTCTCCTACCTACACTTATTATCTTTCCTCTTTTAACGTCGTCCCCTCTGGCTAGCTACTTCCATTTTAACCATCCCATACTTTTCTTCGTTCCAACTCAAAATCAAATCTTAATGAATTAAAAAAAAATCAAAATCAAATCTGAAGATCTTCCGAGTCGAGTGATAGTTTATGATTACACACATGATATGCAATTACTAAACAGTGGGGGTTTCTACTCCACAAAACCTCGGCATAGGAAGACTCGGATAAACATTTAATACGCCACAGATACGATTTGGTTATAAAGTGAGATCCCGAGAGGCTGTCAGCCCCCAGGGAAGTCGTCCCGAAATTTCGGGAAAGGTAAATTTGACAATGCCCGAGAAAGGTATCTACGTTTTCCCGCTAACGGGCATAATAGATTCAACATATGCATGACACTCCGGTGATATATTCGACCTTATCTACCTATCCACCCCGCATGTTTTGGCTGATCAGCATCGTTGAAATTCTTGAATTTTAAAGATTAGAACATGGTTTGTGAATCAAAGTCTCTATCATTCTATAAGATCTAGACGGTCTGGCTATCAACGTCACTCAAACGACCGCATAGGTAGTTGTGCGTGTGTGAGAGCCCCGTATTCCAGAACACAGAATGCTGCTATTATACTTACCACCATGGCTATCCAGCTCCACCAGGCACAGAGAGACTCGAGAGCGCAGGTTCGAACTCTAACATGCATATTAATATCACAGCTACTACCGCCCCCACAATCTCAAATTACAGGACGCGGCCTTTTATCTACATATCTCTACGGCGGAAAGGAATTAGAGCTCGCACGTGTCTATGCGATCTTTGATCGGTACCAACCGATAGAAATCCCGGAACAAACCTCAGGTACATACTACCCCGGTCCAAAAAAGGGGTTATATTTCTCGCCTTGTGTACGCTCGTGGCATATAAAAAAAAACCCACCTAATAACCGGTTATCCTCCCGCACACATGGTGTGAGCACTATCGGGCCGATATCTAATACTCTATAATATCTGTAATGACACCAGACAATTGGTCTACTCTCACAGAGATTGAGATATATCTATGTACCTAACCTGACTTGACTCTGAACCTTAAGCTCAAGGGTAGTAAACCTATAATTCTCAGCCCTTGGCGGCACAGATCAGTCGGAACCAGAATTTTTTGCATGTAGCGTTGCACAAACAAACGTACGTATGTATACACCCTTTTCCCTTCCACTTTGGCTCTACTACAGAGCTCTAGTCTAGGCTGCACTCTGCGGTTCCCCTTTTTCATCCGTCATGCCGCTAATGAGGTCTAGGGCTGAGAGTTAATGCAGGGGTCAGGTGGGTGGTGCTACCTAGCCTTGCCGGGAACGAGGTAAAAAAAAATCATTGATATCCTGCTTTCTCTTGTTATTGGTTTATTGGTTGCGAGTATGTAGTCGTGTTCGTCATGCACCGGTTTTTCACACGGAACCTAGTTGTGGGGATATTGGATTAGTACAAATCGCATAAGGGAATGCGTAAATACGTGTATGTGAATTACAGTGGCGTCCTAGTTAGTGATATCATGGCTAACGTACACCAATCCCTCTGTCAGATATTTGATACATGTAGCTGAAAGCGGAATCGTACAGTCATTCTTGGTTCATGCATAATAAGCCATCTCAATATCATTACCATATTCTGTAGTACACTATTTTTTACCATCCTAACTGATGTAAAAGAAACTCCCTAGCCTATAAATTTACAAATATCCAACATATAAAAGAAAGGTAAGAAAGGAACCCCCCGTTTCCATGTGAGTGACCAACCTCTGAAATAGTGGTAGCCGCAGTACGTAATAGTAGTACTGGTAGTTAACAAAAAAAAGAGCACTGGCATACCGATCAATAGCTGCATGTAGCTTCCCATTCGTCTTCATCAGTGAGAGGAGTAAAGAGAGAGAAAAGTATCCCAGGCAAGAAAGAAGTACTCAAGCAAGTACTTAATACATAACTAGAAAGAGTGACATTAATAAACAATCCTCAAAACAAAAGAGTCAAATTAACGTTTCCCTGTTCCCATCGCCGGATCGTCCATATTTCCCTCCGCAAACTGACCATAACCCGTACTCCTCGGCCTTCCACTCAGCTCTGATGCCGCCACAATATCACTCCCTCCCAACTCTGCCGCCTGCTCTGTATAACCTCCTTGATTATCGTAGTAACCTGGGTACTGTTGACCGGGGAGTGGCCTTCTTGGAACCCCACCTGCCGCGAGATACACTGGTGAGCCGACGGGTGAGTATGGAGCTGGTGTACCGGTAGGTGAAAATGCAGGTGGATCTTCGTAGTTCTGCGAGTTGTACTGCGCCATATTTGGTGTTGTCTGATCCTTGTTCTGGTCATAGACCATCCCTTGGCCTGCAGCGTTATCGACAGGGGCGGCCTTCTTGCGCCGGCGGATGAAGCAGAGCGCTGCAATACCAATTATCGCAAGACCCGCAAGACCACCGACAACTCCACCAGCAATAGCGCCCGTGTTGGATCCACCTGATGAGGAAGGCTGGGCGGTTGGGCTGGATGAGGGTGTAGTGAGTGGACCATCATTCGGCCCGTCATAGCTATCGCAGCCGAGTCGGACGAGTGAAGGGTTTCCGGCCGCGTCGTCGCGTTTTATGTGGGCTAGTCCGAACCTGTTTGATTCATAGTCCACGCGCAGGTACACTTGGGAGAGGAAGGGTGCACCGAGGAAGGGTAGTTTCGGCTCGACGTCTTTGGCAAAGCCGGCGTTTCCGATCGTGGTCTGGATTCGGTCTGCACACGGCGTTAGTTACTGTCAGGAAACTAAGTCGATAGGAATGTAATTACCTGGAATTATATCCCACCGCCCTTCAGTGAGGTTGACTGTCGTGGCAGGGAAGATCCACTCTGTGCGCGGAATTGTTACATTAAAGCCAGTGCTTAACTCGATGTAGATGTCGCCTGCGGGGAGCTGTGTGGGGTCGGAATTATTGTACAAAAGGTACTCCCAGGTTGAATCTACGAAGGATACGTTCCCGCCGGTGAGCATGGTTCTGTTGAAATTCTCTCGAACGGTTATCGGCATAATTGTGGTCCAATATGCGGGCTCGATACAGGCCATGAAAGGTTCTAATAGGAGCGAATTAGCATTCAATGACAGTGGTAATGATCGTGTAGACATGATTTAGACTAACCTTGGTCCGCCATGAGATCTGCAGTACCCCAGTTGATTTTGTTTACCTGAACTTGCAACGGGCACGGTTTGCTCTTATCCTTGAACACTTCGAAATCCTCAAAGTCGTCTGCAGCTGCCTTCTGACGGTTGTAGCCTCCAATCACAAGTTCTCCGGGCGCGAAATTTTCCACTGAGCTCAGGCCATAGTCCAAGGACCAGCTTCTGCTTGGGCTCTGGTTCTTTTCGACCAAGACTTCGAGGAAAGACGAATCACTAGCAAGCCCGATCATACCTTGCCTAAATTTTTAATATTGGTCAGTTATTGTTGTGAAAGAGGATGGGGTGCCGGATAAGACAAACCCGAAAGGAAATGAGCCGTTGTCAATGGCCACCATGGGGTAACCGTCGAGTTCCATCTTGTCACCGTTATAGAGCTGTATTTGGAAGTTATCCCATCCTATATGATCAGATCAGTAAAAGGTTCACTCTGACTGGAGGCCTTAATCGTATGTAGGTCATACCTCGTGGGAACGCCGATATAGGATCACTGCCTGGTGGAATTGTCAGTGAACTTAATAACAGTGATTGATGCCAGAGCTAAGCATACCTGCATATTGTGCCTCATTGAGGTAGTCCCACCCCGCATTTCTCCTAGAGGCATTATACCCTTCTGTGCGATCTTCATATCTCCATGACTTGCTGCTTTGCAAATCGAAAATACCACCGCGCCAGAACACACAACCACGGTCGATGTTGGCAGTGCAGACACTGGACTCAGGCATAAACGATGAATTAAGCGTTGTTCCAACTTGCATTCCTAGGGCGACATTTTGGCTTCCTAAACACGGTTGTTTCATTAGTCGTACTTCAAAACCTAGTCGTTAGCATATTTGGAAACAAACCCGCGACCCAGGCCATAGACCGATGTGCAGCAGATCTATCTGGCGCGAAAAGTACGGTGACATTAGTGAAGGGAATGGCTGTCGGTACCACAGAGCCTTAAAAATACCCAGTGAACATTAGAATGCATTTTACAAAATGGGTTTGAGCACTAGGCTTTTGAAACTCACAGTTTTTCGCAGCGGCTGCTTCGGCGCCAATGAAGAGGGAGGACAACAATAGTCCTGCAAAGCGATACACGCGTCGTGAGTGCAAACCATGATGTGCCATCGTTGGTTGTTTGATTGCCGACTTCAGATCTCGAAATATAACCTTTAGCAACTGACTGATACTAGTACTCCTCAAACCCTCGCTCACAGAAGGTGCAAAGGAAGTTTAAGTAAGTAAGAAGAGCCGGTTCTCTCTCAGAGGTATATAACCAGGGTCAATAAAGGGCCGAATCTTGAGAGGGGGGAGGGATGGACGGGACTTTGATCCTATTTTAATACAAGGCCTGCATAATGTGGTACTGCTTCTCTACTCGCTGGCTCACAAACCTATGAAGGGCGAGCAAAAGCAGCAACAACATTCGATAGACTATACTTCTTTAGGTGAGACACGTTGTACAACAGTAGAAACATTAGGACAGATCGAGTGCTGTCTGATGAAGATTTCGATTAGGCCTTAACAACCTGCCACCTAAAGTTCTTCTCCTCCCCCTTCTTCTTCTTATTCTTCTTCTCAACAATAAAGCACTTTAGTCTTCTTACACGTCTTGCTTTCATTCTCTTGCTGTTTTTACCGACCACCATTATTGTCGTATCTGTCACACACACCCACACGCGGGTGTGATTAGAGTAGAGTCTGACAGACATCGTCGAATGGGTTTGTCTGGTATATGTGTGTTGCATAACCTGAATAAAGGTTGCCGGGGTGTGCAACAAGCTCATTTAATTGCTGCGGTACGGCTGTGTGGTTTGTGTAACCCCTCTTTATCGTACTTGCTTACCAGCAAAAGAACCAGAAAATGCGGTTGTTCAGGGCAGGGATAATTTGTATGGAGTGGCCCCGTTCTCTCATACAAATAATCCCTGTTTCCGTCACTTGCATTTTCTGGTTCTTTTGCTGGTAAGCAAGTACAGCCCTCTGGTTCAACCCCCATACATGCAGAGTTGCAGCTGACAGAATGGAGGGTGGTTAAGCTTGTTAATTGGACCATGCTATTTTGGGAAGAATTTTGTGTAAATTATGTGGGTTGTCCCTTAACGCCATCCCACGACTCTGTTCTGCCCTAACTATCAACCCGTATGATCGGGTTTAGCGGTGGGATTAGAGTGCATACATACTCAACTCTACCTTACTGTAGGCATTTTCCCGCCGAGATCACTCTTAAACTGACGACTAATCGAACCTGGGTTAACTGCCTACCCCTCAGTACAGCCTACCTATTTATCGAAAGCGCCTGCCAATAAATAACCTGTGCTTCTAGAAAACCTTTTGCCAGACAGACGACTCCTGCCAAGATTCCAGGTAGAAGTACCTGTTCGAGTTTGTAACGTTACATATGCCCATTTGAGTGAGTTGGTTGTTCAGTCATCTCCTACTGGATTGTATGTGTATGGATTACTACCGCATTTTCTTCTGGGGTTATCCTTCGATCCCTTTGTATGTGAAACGCGTGTGAGCTGGATCCGGACAATCCTAATGTGAACAACAATCACCACGATCCTGCTCTGAAGGAGGCTTACAGTGAGTCGAATCACTTGTCCAGTGACTGGATTACCGACACTGCTAGTAGTGTTGTAGTAGTGGTGGACTGCATTATCGCACAACTGGAATAACCAATATGGCTATCGCCACTCAAAAGTGTTATTCTCCATGGTGATGATGGGTGGCTAACCGAGGTGCCCTTCAATTCTCAAAGGCACATTCTCCTCTTTCTCCTCTTTCCGAGCTCCTCTATTTCCTCTTTAATTCCCTTACACTATGGCCATCAATGGGTTATGGCGTGCTACCTACACTGAGCTGCCCAATTAACCCTGTCGAAAAAAAGCTCTATTCTCAATGCCCATGTATGCTCTCGAAGCGAGTAAACTCATTAGTACGAACACACTTAGCCGTGTTTCTCGCGATTTGCAGCAGAAACCACCAAATTCATTTCCTTCGTGGCACAGATGGAAGTATCCTTACCGCGATGGGGTACACCTTTAAGCCGGTAGATAAAGTAGCAATTAATTTTTCCGAGTTGACACACCAAAACACAGCTTCATCTGATTGGTCTTATTAATTTGGCGGTGGGCCTGGTCTAACCTTGCAAAGAAAGCCAAATAATTCAACCCACGAGCTAACGAAGGCTGAGTCACTGGCCATTGGGTCGAGGACTAAAGCTGCCCTTAACCCAAGTTTGATATGATGGCAACAGTTGAAGAGATGATTGGGCCCAGCTTGCTGGGGGGCAGAAAAGTGAAGCTTTTTGGCTTTTTGGAGGCGTTTCGTTTTTCGGTGGCTCTCGAGTGAGGGGGAACTGAAAAAGCAAAGACATTGTTCGTGTGATGTGTGTCATGTATGTATGCTGACGATCCCACGCCACTAGTCGAAAACGACCGTGTTGTAGACTCAGCCGCAGAGTCGCGCACAAAATTGGCTTAAATGATAACCACTCGTCGTTGTCGCTCGTAAGAACTGTAATCATTAATTGTCACTCGATCAGTCAGTCAGTCTCACATGGCCGGTTTCATCAAAAACACACTCGCATCCGCACGATCCGGTCTCGACAGAAAGTAATAAATACCCCAGGGAGCCATAAAAGACTTTAGTGTTAACAAATTCATGAGCCAGCCCCCTTCGGAGAGAAATTCTAGGCTCCAGCACAATGTACTTCTACTCCACAATTACATCTCAGGTGTGGGTAAATCGGCGACGTATGCAAGGCGACGCTATGGCCAGCCTTTATCCAAAATGGCTAGCATCACGTAGGAAATAGCCGTTGAACAGTGTCACAATGTAGAGTACAGCCACACTTTGAACCCTTAAGCTCGAACCGGTCTTATCTAGCGAGTGATATCTTCTGATCGGCGGATTCAGATCAAAGTGAAGTGCTCGAGAGGGTGTACCGGGAAACTTAGAGGTTGAGGTTATCAAGATGTTTCTAATCCCAAGGCGCGTGGCAGCATCTAGGTGATCATACTTCGCCTAAAAGGAACAGTTTTTAATGGCGCTGGAATTGATATCAAGAGTCAAGGAGCCGGAGGTGCACTTAATGCTGTAATTACTGCCCGAGAAACATAGTTTCCATGTGTACCAACATCGTGGTCAGTGTTGGGGCTATATTGGCGTAATTGGGAAGGCTTGAGACTTCTCTTGAGTTCAATCAGGTTGGCTCTCTTTGCTCTTTTGTCCCAACATCATCGAAATTGGCTTAAGGATGGATTTACTGTTTTTCTTTTCCCTCCCAATTGAAGTAGGTACATTTCTCTGATTGTCAATAGTGTACCATACCTACATAGTTAGCGAGGAATGGTCTCAGAGCGCGTGGAGATTCTGAATCAAGAATTGCCACTATGGTCTCTTAGTGTACCCAAGAGTTATCTAGTTGCCATGACCCCATTTTCGGCCGCTTCTGTGATTAATTGAGGCAATTGAATTGCCGCATCACGATGTTGCCAGGAGATATGGGAGTTTAAGGTTATTGACTGCATATATAGTGCTAGTGAGAACATCTTATTCAAAGGATAATCGGAAGCGGATAATAAGAGGCACTTAGCAGAACGAAAGGGATTTATCATGGATTTCTGCTTAACTGCATGTAGCTACATATGTACGTAGTATGTAAAGGCCCTTGAGATTCGAGCCTATTAAATTCCGTAACTCCCTAAACAAACACAAGTAGATACGTTTAAGGTAAAGGGATAATGCTTGGATTAATTGTTACCTAGAGTAGAGCTCTGGGCTCCCCTATTTATATTCTATTCTGTATGTAACAATCCACCTATCTTTCCATTACACGCATGTTGTAGTACTCATAATTTCCCATCATGATTACCTCAAGCGATGATGTGTCTGGCTCCATAAGGGTAATTACATGTATCTTTTACCCAAACAACAAAGGCCTTGAAACAACACAAAACAAATAATAATAACCTCTCCCCCCCCAGAAATAAACTGTTTTCCGCCTCTCTCCCCTTATCCTCGTAATCCCATCAGCTCTGTTCATTATCAGCACTACAGACTCCTGACACCAGTAATTCCTTTAAATATACTAGATTAGACAAGCTACTCGTCTTAAGATAATGACTCGATAACTATAGCTCTAGCTATGGCCTGGCTATGTACCCAATTCTCCGGCTCTAGTACTTGTACTTGGATCGGATTTCTGGCTTTGGAAAAGAGTTTGGTTTCGAACTTTTAAGCGCCTCAGACTGTTGCTGATGGTATTGTGTGACCTTATCAATATATGATGCAGCTGGTCGCGTCTTGAATGGGTTGCTGTCGCCATCAACTTTGGTGTCAGGAGAGAGTTTACGCTTCCATTTTACAGTTCCTGGAGGTGTTTCTTCCGGCTTCTTGAAAATTACGCTGGCACTAGCCAACGGCCCTCTGTGAGAAGTCTCCCCCTTATAGGTTGTCCCAGAAATTGTATGGAACGGACGAAGGTTCCTATCCCGCTCCCGGTATGAAAATCTGTCTGAGGAGACCTCATCCCCTCCCCCTCGTTGTGTATAAACCGCAGGTCGAGATAGCTTCTTTAGGGGCCTGGCGGGGGGTAGTATTCTTGGGAAAGTATTTACTGTGCTGCTGCTCCCTGTCATGTTCAGATCTTGCTTGAACTTTGCACAGTTTTTCCCGTCATCTTCACTTTTCCATGGACAGGTAGTGTCAGATGGATCGGTATTATCAGATATGTGAGCTACAATAGCGTCACATTTTTCGAAGGACGTAGGTGCTCGGAGCGGTATAATTTCTTGGATACGATCATCCCGAAATCTCGGCCCAGTCACGTTGATCATCCTTTCAACTTTCCAGGACACCATACCGAGGCCATAAGTAAGAGGTTTCCCATTTTTGTCGCGAGTCATCGCAATTGATACCATGCAATCACCAGGCTTTCCAGTTCTTTGGCATACTTTACACGCTTTGAAAAGTCCCCTGCCTTCATCTGATTTTCCTTTCCCTTGATCTAATCTGATCTTTCGTTGCAAATTACAACGATCTCCTTTTTTTCTCCCTTTAGATGAAAGGATGCAGCAAATACATCTGGATCTGGTTTGGTAGGCCTTCTGGAGGAATTGCTGCTCAATGGTTGGGTCATCGTTGCCGCAGACGAAACTATAAGATTCGGCTAAAGATTTAAGCCTGAACCTTACCCTCGCTCCAGGGAGCCTATACCAATTGTATAGCTTCGTTTTCTGATTGTATTGAACAATCTGGCAAGGGATTCCACGACGTGCTGTGGTAATGCACATTTTGTTTGAAATCTGTGAGATGCATCCGCCGGTATGATCAGTCACTTGACAGTAGAAACATTTCCAACTCTTGAAGTGTCTTTCGAGGTAAGCCTGCTTTGATTGCTCGTCTAGGGGGTCCCATTTGGTTTTCCACTCATTTAGGTATCGATTATAATGATCTGCGCTGGTAGTACTTGGTTTATTACGACGTAGTTTAAAAGCGGAGATTGTGTTATCAGCTATAGTTGGAATTGTCTCTTCATCGGACAATTGAGCAGAATCTCCGGTCTTTGATTTTGAACCGCATTTTGGTGAATTTGCGCCATAACCACGGGGACGTACTTCACGCAAGCGTGCTGAATCAGGGATCTCCAAATGGCATCCATGGTGTAATTTTTCATTTTCCTTCGATTTGTTGTAAGATTGCGTCGATGGAGATTGATGAGTATAACAGTACTTTGTTTCTAAAGGGTGTTTCATGTCACTCTCGAGAAGAGTTGAGCTGTGCTCCTCAGGATCACTTGAATATCCCCAGTGTGCAACATCTTGCATCGAGCAACTGTCATTATCAGAGTCACTATCATCATCAGAGCAACTATCGCTTCCATCGGTCTCGCTAAAATCACTCCTGTCTGATACCTCACCCAGACTGTGGGGAGGATGTTCACAATTGAGCTTCGTTGTGTTCTTCTGGGGGGGTGGTTGTCGTTGAAGGTTGAATTCATTAGGATGATTTTCTACCAAGACCTTTTCTTCTGATGATATGATTACTTCATCACCACATTGGCCATAACGCGGATAAGTACTTCTTAGAGACTCCAGTTCCGACTGTGTCTGATGCATTGGCGACGGATCATGGAGGGGATTATTAAGGTTTTTAGTATGATTACTAAATTCTGCCTCCCTTGTGTGTACTAATCGGTAATATAAAAGTCAGTCTATGTGTATAACCAAGCAGTCATGAGTTCTCAGATAATACAGACATCTTGACTTCATTCCTAGGCCTTCAAATGGTATCAATTCACCAGATATCTCCGGTATTCCAGACGTGGATGAGCAGAGTACATTGCTCCCATTTATTTGGATGTTGGGGATATGCTCTTTGCATCCTGCTACGTGTTAGCTTGGACCACTTAAATGCTGATTGTCACCACAAAAACAGCTACTCTCGGGTATCTGCTTGTATCGTAACCTAACCAGCACATACCAGCATCCTATCTCTGATTTAGAGTTGGGAGCCTAGTCGGTGCTAGTCGGTTGATGTTCTAGCTAGGATTCGCCAAACGTCGTCAAGGGGATATTAATATAATACCTGTCTTAGTATCAATTAGGTCGGCCAGCTCTATAAGTGCCATCCCATATCCTCTTATACTTTGCTGGACTTCTCGTTTCAAATTGGAATTGTCTGGTGTGTTGGTTCCAGAGCTGTCTTGTTTATTGATTTGGGATCTTGCATTCTCGATGCCCCACATAAATTCTAGATTGAGCCGGGAAATTCTTGTGATGACATCCTGGAGGTTATCATGACCAGAGACAGCTTCTCTGGATAGGTTTGGTGGATTCATCTTCAACTGCTGTTCCAAAAGCCAACAACCAAAGATGGATTAGTTCCATCACCGGGGATATCACTGTCAGGAGAAGCATAAAGTGACATGTGGAGGCTTACCTTTTTGAAGAGAACTATCCTGTTGTTCTCTATAAGATAACCCTTAAGGTTGATGAGAATAATAAGCCCCGCGTTGAGGCGTGGGGACCTGGACAAGCTAATAAGTCAGACCGTGTTTAGCTGTGAATAGCAGTAGAATGCATCAAAAAAATGTTTGGTTAAAGATTCGGGTTGATAGGGGGGGGAGGGGAAGGGGGATGTAAGAACTTTCGAAAGCATCGCCAAATATCTCAAGAGAGATAAAAATAGTGAGAACAGCAGGATAGTAGCATGGCTGGCTCGGGGTGGTGCAGGATGGTGAGACGAGAAGGGAAAGATACCACATACTTTAGGGATTATGAAAGTCTCGTGCTCAGAGTGTGTGGGTATTCTTCACAAGAAGCTGGGAGTTAGGGAACGAGACTCGGATGATAGTACAAGAGAGTTGATGTTTTCGAGGGTTGTTGATAAATGTCGAGGGTTGTTGATAAATGGAAGAGATGGTTGGGGATGGTTTACAAGAAGAAGAGTGGAAGAGGACTGCTGAATTTATGGGCATTTTGGAGGGGCTAGGCTACTAGTGGGGGGCTCCACCTGTTAGAAACATCAAGCGTGTTGAAGGATGCGAAATGCAAGTTTTCACCACAGTTTTCACAATACACACTACATATACTTTTTCTTCTTGTAGGTACAACCACCAGGTATACGTCTCCAGATGGAAATTGGAGTACCGCTAATTCTCGAGAGATCCACCATCTCCGCTTTGGTACTGTAGGTGGTAAGTCCGGTCTAAAGAGAATTGGTAGAATCTCAGGTATCCAAACTTGACGGGTATGTGCAGATACACGCCCTTTCTCTGCCCCGGACATACCATTGACGTAGTGGAGAGTGAATTTCTCGAGGATTAACGATTATCTGACTCCATTTCCACTGACTTGTGTATGTATATGTAATCACGGTCAATCACTCGCCCTCTTCTCATGGAAACGGCCTGCCGTGTCATAACAATGAATGATCATGATGCGGTATCCGTATCATTAAAACATTGAAGTTGATTGGCTATCAACATGTGAGAGAAACTACATGTACCTGCAAGTGGCTTAGTGGTAGCACAAGATTCAGATCTGAAAGTTAGAACACATATGTGGACCTTTAGACGGGGCTGATCAATTGAACACGAACAAAAAATATATTTCCATCAAGTTTGAGGTACCGGCGACTACGAAGTGGTGTGGCCTCCCAGATCGATGAACTTAATCAGATCTTTCGACCCATTCAAAATTGGTGTTCTTGCCCCAACAAATAAAAGCATAAAAATATGGGGGCTTCACTTCCAACTACCACTCTCAATCGACCCCACCAACAACATTCGCTCAGATCTCCTGCCAACCAATTACCTTCACAACACAACAAGTATGCCATCCTCTGAAATCATGTTTTCATCAAACGATGACCCTGGAGGCTCCGATAACCGTCTCGTTGTTTCTGACATAGAGGATGGCCAGAATGTTATTCTCTCTCTTCGACCAGCCGTCTTGGACAACAAGCAACCCACATTAAAGAGGTCCCACTCGGCCACAACCCGTGATGATCTGGCGAAAAAATATCGCCGTCTCGAAAGCATCTCCGAGTCCGCTATTCGCGAGAAACAAAACATCCTCCCAAATTCCACCTCCAGGGATTTCTCGCGCATTTCTCCTACCACCTCGAAGCGACTAGTTACCTCACCGAACGCATATGCTTCAACACCATTACCATCACAGAAAAAGCCCAGAGCGTTCTACACCGAACAACAGCTCGAATGGCTCACCGACTACTACTTTACCATGCCTGATAACACTACAAAATCTTGGAACATAGCCTCTGGTGATTTCGAATCCACCTGGGGGCAAGTTCACAGCGGCAAAGTCCTAAGAGCGAAGGTCATTAGGATGGGCTTGGGGATACTTTTGGAGAGATCAGATGGAGAACTTCCGGCGGTAGAGATGAATATCGATGAATTGAGCGATTCAGAAGCTGTCGCCGCCCTCTCACCCAAAACTCCGGTTGCTCAGGGAACCGCAGAGGCCTATCAAGCCACCCCGCCCGCCAGCCCACAGGGCGCCCGCAACAGAGAATTATGGCTCAAGGATAATATTCATAAATTTCAGAAAAGCAAGTTTGAGGTTGATTGGGAGTCGTTGACTAATCTCTTCAACGACATTTTCGATATGAAGAAATCTGCGACAGCATTGGAGGTCATGTGGGAGAGGGCTATAAATAAAAACTGTGGGTCGATACATTCTTTTTGAATGGGTGGGGGTTATCAGAGGAGGTAATGGCAGGGGTGTAATTTACAAAAATGTTGGTGACTAAAAGATTATTCATGTACTCATTAGTGAAGAATACAAATATCCCATGATATTTTCAGCTTGAAAATCTCCCAAATTATACCTATAGTCATCATAGGTTAGGCAGGAAAATAGTGTTGGGTATGGATGAGTCTCGTCTCGTTTTGTATTCTTTACACCGAGTCTTGAAAATCTCGAGACAATGGTCCAGTCTCGTCAGAGTCTCGCGGCTTTTCATCAAGTAACCATGTAGCCTTGAGGCCGGGAAAGCTCTGTGATCATGCTAATTAATGCCTAATCCTTTAAAACTCGGACTTGAGAGTATATTCAGGCTGGAAAAAAGTCAAAGAGGTCTCGAGACCTCCAGACCTGGTCTTGTCTTGTATCGTCTTATCTTCTCAGTCCCCAGGTCTCGATATAACTCGTCTCGTATCTATCACTACAGGAAAAGCAAGTTGAGCTCGAGCCAAAGAAGAGTTTTAGCTAATCAAATTTTACCAGGCCCAAGTTCTGATATAGAGAGAAGTGATTGTGAGATTTTACGATCTCGTTGATCTCTCCTCAAAATCCCCAAAATATAGTGGTTCTTCTTATGTTAGGTCCAGGACGTGACTATATGAGCGATGTTTTTAGAGTTTTTCCAGGATTTTGTAATGTCGAGTGATCTATCATGAAGGAAAACTTGACTGGTAGGACTGCATATTATGACGTAAGCAGTCTTTATTCCTTTTTTTTTTTTAACTGTACCAGTGGATTCATGAACACGACAATTGTTGAGCATAATTTTGAATCCTCAAGCACATATTATATAGTTCTTATTTTATTTCTTGGCCTAACTATCTTCGAGTGATATCGTATGATTTCATTCCTTCACACTTCATTACACTCCCCATTGAGTAAACAACACTGAAACTTGACATTGATCGGCTCAATTCATTAAATCCTCACACTATACTCAGTCTCAGTACTCGTCTGACCATTCACTATCATCTCAAACACACCCACACCATGGCACCCAACCGCCGTCCCCACTCCAACAGCCACAGCACCAACACTCAACATCCTCTCCCATGCTCCCTTATTCGCGACTCCTCCAACCCCAATGACCGAAATACCCTTCAGTTCTTCCTCCGCATTTAGAAGCTTCCTAATGGTAGCTACATTCCCCAGGCTCAACCAGTGAATACACGACCCCCCGAGACCGCCAACCCCCGTCCCCGATTCCGACGACAACGTCGGCTGGTACACCGTCCGTCTCCCCATAGCCAACGATGGTGGTGACGATAAGTGCAGCGAGGATCCAAGCGTGTTCGTGCTCGTTATAAACGACACTGCGTCTGGGTGCTGCTTCAACGCATCGATAAGCACGCGGTATTGATCGTCGTGCGTGTACGGCGGAGTCTTCAGTCCAATCGGTATTGGCACTGCGAGAGTAAGGGTAGAAAGCGCCTTAAGGTATGATTGCAGTCCAGTGAGGTTGTAGGCAGGTGGGGGCTTTCCTGCTATGTTAGGGCAGGAAAGGTTTATCTCTACCAGAAGCTCGTAGGAGTTCTCCTTCGCAAATGCTGCGATTTTGGTCACTGCATTCTGTATCTCTGTGGGGTCGCCAGTGATTGAAATAATAAACGGTTTCGATTGTGGGGTTTTGGAAGCTGTGATTATGTTCTTGATGGATGTCAGGTAGTAGTCAAGCGGGTGCGGAGAGTATCCATAAGTATTTAGGGATGCGTCGGCAACTTTGGTATCTGTGGTTGAGAACAGAACGGCCTGGTGGACAGCTTTATTCTCCGGGAAGCCTTGGACGAGAAGAGAGGTCCGAGTAGTGACGGCACCCGTGTGTGGTGAGTGGTACAGTGCTGCTAGGTCTTCTTCGGAGCTGGCCCATGGGGTTGCGGAATTGAGCAGAGGAGGAGTGAAGGTGAGCTGAGGGCTTTGGAATTTTGCCGCCATTGCGTGGGAGAGTTTATAGGTATGGTGTGATGAGCGATGAGGGATATGCAGTTGAGGTAGGTACAGTAGTACAGGTGTTATGTTATTATAGTACAGCCTGCACTTACTCCGGAGACGAGGTGGATGGATGGGATGGAATTTGGTGGGAAAACGGAAAAAAAACGATGTTTATTTACATAAAGCATCGTAGGTACATTTTCTGCATCTGATACCAGCTGGAGGAAGAGCTAGTACTGTAACCGTGGTAATGGACAGTGCCTACCTACCTACATACATCATCACTTCGTACGCCATGCCGATGCTGGGAAAAGCTGGGAGATATCATTATGGAGCTGCTCATCGGGATTCGATAGTGATAATTGGTTCACAAGCGATGCTATCTATCAGACATTGCTCTCCCACGAAAACTCGGGGATCGGGATTTCACGAAGCTTGCTTTGGTGGTGTTTCAATGCGGTACATTTGACGGGATATCTGAGATGAGGAGTGGGAGGACAGAGGGAGGTGTGGGGGAGAAGAGGGATTTGGGGTGGGGGATGTGGAATGTGACGATGTGACATGAAGAGTGACGGATGGGTGGGTGTATGGAGGGGGGGAGCTAGGAGGGGGGAGCTAGGAGGGGGAGGGGTAAGTAGCTGTTTCACGGAGCAGCAGCAGTAGCAACAGTAACTCAGTGGTGAGGTATGACAAAGGAGGAGCAATGACGTCAAAGTCTCCCTCCCTTAAAAAAAAAAAAGGCTTCATCTCATCACATTTCCTCCCTTCGCTCAACTCTTTTCCCTCAACTCTTTTCTCTTCTCGAGTTTCGCAAAATGACGAATAGCACACCCAAGCGCGCGCACAGACATTCGTGGGATGGTCTGCCGATAAGAACCGGACCCTGGCGCGCCAGTCTAAACCTAGACCGGGTTGGTGCAGGGTTACTGTGCGTGGTTAACTCTGATTGGCCAAACGGAACGTCGACGACTTTTCTCCGCACTTTGACTTTTTCACTTGACTTTTGAACTGCACGCAACGTTGGCCGCCGGGATTGGTGCCTCTAGAGTCTAGAAGGTATCAGTGGCTGGTACGTACATAGACTATGTCTATGCACCTTACATTAGTATTGTGCACTTCTTTGCTTGACATTTTCATAGTCTGCAATAGGGAGCACTGTTGAGATGTTGTAAGATTAAGAAGTCTTTGATGGTCATCTGAGAGAGAGAAAATTAAAACGTGTGATGGGAAATGTGAACCCGAACGCAAAATCATACCTTGGTCTTGGTTTGTGACGTACCATAGCAAGAGTAGAGTAAGTGGACCCTTGAACATGAACATGCGAGCGCATTCGACCCCCCCTGGCGCGCCCATCCCAAACTGTCGGGACGAAAACAAACATCCATTCCCCTCCTCTTCTCCCCCTCCCGCTGACACGTCGAGATTCTCAGTCACATCTGCCGCCGAACTTGACTATCCCATCCATGGCCAACGGATAACTCAGTGCACACCCTCTTTTGAACCTGGCATACCTAGAGTATGTACCTTCTCTATCCTGATGGTCTACTTTGCTGCTCTATGCTCTACGCACCATGCAGTAAGTGCTCAACCTGGATGTAACGCACCAACTGTTAGAGTTGAGACGAGTAGGTACCGCAAAATCTGGGTTCGTTCGGACGGTTGCCAAGAGGACAGCTTTGCAGAGGAGCTGAAAAATATTACCCTTAAAGGGAGAGATTAGAGCCTTTTACAGTAGGATTAAAGCCAACACCGCTCTTGGCAACCGTCCGAACGAACCTAGATTTTTCGGTACTCTACCAGTGGCCAGGAGAGTTTCTAGAATGGCACACGTATGGGATGCAATTGCAATTTAGAGTCTGTTACTGTATTCTACTCTAATGGGCGAGAATGTAAGAAATATTGCAGAAAGCCACACGAGATCAAAATTTGAGACCCAGATCGTCGATTCTACCCCCCCCCCCCAATCTCAACTTAGATAGGGACCGAGTCTTTTTCGCCATGCAGATTGGATTTTCCTCACGTTTCCCTTGGTGTGCTGTATTCGCTTACCGGTGATTCGTCGAAGGCGGGTCTGTAGAGATTCGGCCTCCCGTTCAACACTTCCCAGGGATATCCTTTCCAAATGTCCGACCAAAAGTGAGAAGAGCGACAACAACGGCAATAACAACACCATCCAACATCCAGCGTCCGGAGTCCGGCGTTTGGAGTAGAATCCAGAGTATCATCAAGCATCAAGCATCTACTCTACCTAGAGTATCCCCAGCTTCCAGCTCTTTTTTTTCCTTTTCAAGCCCCCCTCCCCCTTCCACCCCCTCTCCTTCCCTTCATCTTTGCCACCCCCAAGAGGGAAACGCACACTTCAACACCTTACTTGTTCGCCGCTTCTACATTCTAGGTATACCCCTACGTGTAAATTTGACAAGCCGCAGCCCGACCTCCTCTCCCACTTGCCAGCCTAGCTCAATAGCTACCTACTCAAGGCAGTAACGTGAAAGCACAGCTGGTCACTTACCAGGGTAGTAGTCGACATCTAAGACCTGTCTATCGTTGTTATTAGGTATTATTCCACTTGTCACGTCACTCGTTGGCCATTGCTCACCGTACCGCCCAACAAAATAAGCCAAACCGCCAGCCACCCTTGAAACATTTTCGATAATTGAGTGAGGGAAAAAGAGCAAAGAAGAAGAAAAAAAAACCTTACACATTGTTCCAGAAGCTCATCGAACAAGCCTTCTCCGCCGCTGTGCGTTTGTGGGTAAACATAGCCCTGCAAAAGTAAAAAATAAAAAAGCAGGCAAGCAAGATTCTCGGGAGCGCCCTGTCGAGGTACGTAGGTGGCTAGCCTACCCGCTTTCTCCTTCCCCCCATTACGGTGTCATTTTTTCTCCTCGTCCTCCCTCTATTCCTCCCCCTTTCCCCCCTTCCCTATTCACAATATATACACCTTCCTCTGCCATCAGTATCCTATCCTGCTCACCATATACTCACTCATATCTATATTCACAGCTAGTATTTATTCGTCCCTTCCTCGATATAGGAAAGACATCCACGAACCACGGCATACAACGAAATCTGTAATAGGAAGAAAATAACAAAGGAAAGAAGGAAACCCCAGATTCTCCAAGAAAGATGTCGATGGATCCTGTAACAGAGCTTCAGCACCTGAAGTTTACACCAAGGACCTCAGCATGGAAGCATATGCAACGGTTCGAGAGGTTATGCGCATTGGCATATCCACGAGCTACTGATGCTGGCAAATGGTACGTTCATTCTTACACGGTTCAAGCATTTTGAATGATTTGTCTTGAAATCACGATATCGTGCTCTCTAAAAAAAAACTCTCCATCTTCTTTTATCTTATTGATTTTGGGGGTGGATTCATTTCTAATGTGACTCAAATTCTTCTGCAGGAGCTTATTCGTAAAGACTATTGACACGACAAATGTGTGGGGCAGTGGGAGGGGGGTGACGCCTGGAAGATGGCTGATGGAGTTGAGTAAGTTAAACCCTGCCAATGATCTGCTACCCCATTTCTATTGGTTGCTTTTTCTTTTTTTCTCGCCGGGCACCTTGGTTGGCAACGGTACACCCAACTCGGTGACCTGGCCACTCCAAACTAGTACTTATTAAATGTCCCCCCCTCATTCTAACATGTTCATAGGCGAGGACTGGCTACGAAAGAACCCACACTGCGCTCAACCGGACTGTAACGACTGTAAGTTATTATCCTATCCCTTCCCGTCCTACCACCCTACATATTCATTTAACCTGTCCCGTCCTGTCCATACCGTCCTCCCTCCTTCTGCTCTCCAGCCCATCTTTCCTCTTCTCGTGCTCACATTCCCTGTTTAGGCAAAAACGACACCATGTCTTTCGATTACCTCAAGAACGCCTTCCTTGATCGCTGGGGTGCACCGGCGTCACCGCACGGCAAGCTCCGCCAGCCCTCTCGGTCCCACTCCATGCCCCCACCATCCGAGTCAGACGGTGATCCGGGCGAGATTTTGACCCCATCTGATATTGTCTCCAATGCTCTTATCCCAAGAGGGAGCCACTACCCACCTTCTGCCCCCACACCTCCAAACGAGCCTGTAAATGAACGGGAGCGCCTCGTACAAGAGACCAAGACCTCTATTGCTATCAACCCTGCTCCCGGAAGTGGCGGTGGTCAGATCGTACTGTCGATCTCAGACACCAACAAGCCCCGACGAAAGAAGAAGGACGGTAGCAGGAACGTTGACTCCCGAAATTCACACCGCGGACATCATGGGAGCCATGACATGGAGACTCCATTGGATTCCCCTGGGTGGGCTCAATCCGAGAATGATGCGGAGGAGATGGAACGCCGGCGGCAGGAGGAGATGGAGGAGGAGATGGAACGCCAACAACGGTATGAGGCGATGGAGATGCAACAACGCCAACGGGAGGAGGCGATGGAGATGCAACGCCAACGGGAGGAGGCGGCGATGGAGATGCAACGCCAACGGGAGGAGGCGATGGAGATGCAACGCCAACGGGAGGAGGAGATGCAACGTCAACGGCATGAGGAGATGCGTCGGCGTGACGCACGTGAGGCAATGGAACGCCAACGGGAGGAGATGGAGCACCGACGGAGACAGATTCATGTCGTCGAAGTCGAGCCCGCAATGGAGCTTGTCCGCCAGGGGTCCGTCTCTAGCGAAGGATCCCACAAGAACAACGATCAGGCTCTTGTTGAGATTCCTCCATCCGAGGTCGAAGAGTCTACAATCGCTGGGAGCGAGACTGGGCTCGGGGGTGCCATGACCGTGGCTCCTCCTTTGAGGCCTCGGTTATTGGAAGGAAAGATCTGTGCTATCACTGGGGCATCACGAGGTATTGGGCGCGCCATCGCCCTCGGATTTGCCAAAGAGGGTGCGCACATTGTTGCACACTACTGGGGAACTAAGAGCGACCCCGCCAATGAGGAGATTGTCTCCCTTTGTGTTGAGATCCGTGGTATGGGCCAGGGCTGCACCATCGTCTTCGGGGATATCTCAGACCCCAGGACTAGCGACAATATCATCAAAAGGGCTGTTGAGACCTATGGAAAGCTTGATGTAGCTGTCGGTAACGCTGGTATGTGTTGGTACCGTGACTTCCTTGATGTTACCCCCGAGTTGCTTCGTCGCCACGTCGAGGTCAATCTCAACGGAAACTTCTATTTTGTCCAGGCCTGCGCACGTCAGTTCAAGTCTCAGTTCCACGCACTCCCCGTTGATCCTCGCCCTGACCCCATGCCCGACTACTCATTGATCTTCCTGTCTGCGGCCGGTGCCCACTCCGGTAATGGACATCAATCCCACTACAACCCTACCGCAGCTGGATTGGTCAGCTTGATGCAATCCACCGCCGTGTCGTTGGGACCTTACGGTGTGCGATGCAACGCCTTGTTGCCTGGTGTGATCCAGACCAAGATGAACAAGGAAGAGCTCACAGACATGGAGAAAAGGGGACGGTTGGAGAAGAAAGTTCCCCTTGGAAGACTGGGTGTTCCCAGTGATATTGTGGGCCCGGCGGTATGGCTTGCTGGTGAGGGTGCGAAGTATGTCAGCGGCGCACAGATTGTGATCGATGGTGGTGCCTTTGTTAATAACTACTAAGCCGGATGGGTAGGTGATGGATGTGTGATGTTTTTTGCTATTTATTTCTTTATTTTTCGTTTATCAATGGGTGTGATTGGGATGTGGGAGACTTTTATTGTAGTTTCGGGTATCATTTTCTTTTTTCTTTTTTTTGGATTCATTATGGGGAATCATTCCTTTTATATTTCTTATCTATATATATGGCATGGCATTGCGTTTTTCTGTAGGGTTTACCTTTTTTTTTTTTTGTATTGGGCGGGATGAAGGGGGTTTGGGTTAAAACTTTTATGTTAAGAATAAATATGATAAACGGCAATAGTTAGCTCCGATTGTCTTTTTGTGATATCGCGAGTAAAATAGGAGTGATAAATAAATGGGCTTTGCAGTTAGATATCTTTACCTAGTTCGACTAATTCTAACGAGTGATTCTCTATGATTCCTATATGTGGTGGCGCACCTCTTGCAGTCTTTCCAACGTGCACCGATCGATGCTATCCCTTAAACTGTCACCTTTTTTGCAAAAATCTACTTCAAAGTCTGTTTGGTTAGCCTTAGTATTGAAAACAGATCTAAGCTGTTTTTTGAGTGTCTTCGATCTCAGGCTGCTACTTTACAAGCTGATATAATACCATAGCCGCTTGTACTTTATGGCAGTCCTCGGACTTTGCCAGTAGGTATATTTCCGTTTCTAAACTCGGCCTTGGCCTACTTGGGCCGTTAATTGTTACCCTCCAAATATCCTTAATACGGATAGCGGCAATTTCACGATAGCTGTTAACGTTGTTTACTGAGTTACTAGTATGTGCATCAACTGCTACATGCATGTGTAGGTTATATACCAAGTTGAAACCTAGCTTGGCAATGCTATTACCCGATAGCTATATGTAGTATGTATGGCCGTGGATTTGTTTGCGCATACAGATATGCTGGGTCTCGAGCCTCCTGGCGGGGTTCCTCCCCCTATCGACATCGTGAAAAAGCCTCCTAATGGCGACGAGAGAGACCATACTATTTAGATGGCAGTAACCGCGTATGCTTTATCACCATGAATGCCAATATCTCACTACCAGGATGTGAAGATTTAGTCACACTCTATCACTCGAAGAAACGTTGGCTGGGAGTTATTTTACTTGCATGATTGATTGATCATTCGTGTATGATTTTGCTTGCATACAAGTATTGAGATGAAGGTACATGGGGCAACCCGGCTTGCTGACTACACTAACTTAATTTTAGCTACATCTAGAATCTATCTTTGTCGGGCCACCGATTGTTGAAGATAATAAGTCCATCACTAAGCCTGATCAGGCCTAATGAACCTAATTAAAGAGAACATACAGTCAATGACCACCTACGCTGTCACCAATCGCCACATTTGAATACCGCGGCGAGAAGCCAGATCGAGATGATAGAACTTTATAATTTGGCTGCTCCTCGCTGCATAGCTTGCATTTGTTTTATATCACAACCCGCATTGCCTAGACCCCAGAACCAGCGCGCGACCCTCTACACTCTTCATGAATAACAACACGGCCATGCAGTCGGAAAACGCAGAAAAAGCAGCAACCCCAGAAAAACCACCAAAACCACCAAAGCCACCAAAGGCAGGTCCAATATATACCTACAAAGGCTATTTCCCCCCAATTCTTCCAGATGCCTATATTGGATGGGCGCCCATCGACAGTAAAAGCTTCAGTGCCAAGATGTTCGTGAAGAATCTTGATGAGATCACGAACATTCTATCGCTATGGAATTGGAATGCCATCGAGATATTTCAAGGTACCAGGGGCGATGGTAGTTCAAATAATGCATTGGTCATCACCGTATTTCCCTGCGAGAAAGAAAAGATTCCATGGATCGTTCGAGCAGTCCAGCCCTATGGCACCTTACTCGAAGCCGACGTACTAGTGCAAACTGGCACTCCAAGCAGGCAGGCTGAGCCACTGAATAATGGGGGATCTATATCAGCCGCCCTCAATTCCACCCGTATCGGTTCTGTCGGAGGTTTCCTCAGAATTGGTGATGAGATCGTTGGAACAACATGCCACCATGTCATCTTTAGTGGCATCGATGATCCCAAGGCTATTACAGACGGATATCGCCCGGATAACCAGATGAAGGTTGTGCCTGACAATAGGGGAACAACGATTTCTAGTCCGTCCTATGGGCTCTACGAAAAGGTTGCTATGAATGAAGTGGAATTAGCTAAGAAAAGAAAGGACGAGTACAAGAAATACTGTATAGATGGAGACCTGATGCCAGAGGATATGGATAAGCACGATATGGATATAGCTCACCATGAACAAGTACTGGAGTTGACGCGTAGGCGGTGTTGGGCCGGGGCGGTCAAGTACGATTGCGGGGAAATGCATTTAACGGAGTGGTACGGCCGTAGGACAACTGTCGATTGGACCGTTTTCTCTATTGATCCCTCGAGGAGGATCACGCAGCCGATTAATACACTGTATCTCACCGACATCACTTCTTACCGCGAAAATACTTGTGATATAAAGACGTTTCACAGCTTTGGAGATATTGCGACCCGTGGTGGAATGGATGTCTGGAAATATGGGTTCAGATCCAAGTGTACCAGAGGGAGAACCAACGGTGTTTGGAGTAGAATTTATCTGGGCCCGGTGGAGCAGTCGCCGAGCGCGAGCAGGGCATATACCGACGAAATATGTATTATTGCGGATCCGGGAAAGAAGTTCTCTATCGATGGTGATAGCGGTGCTTGGGTGGTGGGGGCGAATCATGAGCTATTGGGATTTTTGTTCGCTGGCGTTTCGGATGAACCTCCTTATAGATCCTATATGACGGATATACACCTTCTCTTGACTAAAATAAGAGCTGTTTCTGGCGTCGTTCCTGAGCTACCTCTGTAAGTTCACGTACTTCGCCATGGACATTATTCGAGCTAACATTTAGTAGTCCGACTGTGGAAAAGGTGCCGGGCCCACCGCCTGTAGACGTCATGTACCCTATCCTCCATGCCATCAGAACTAGTGTCAATCGATATGGCGTTGCATACGCAGAAACATTGCCGCGAAGACCGGAAACATAATATAGTGTGAAACCATATCCTCTTTTTGGCATTTATGGTTTTTGATGAGTAAGGGCTTGGAGTTTTATCAGTTCGAGAAGGATTTTATTTTAGTACTCAAGATGAGTGTATGATGTGCTCGGGGTCCAGGAAAGATAGATTATAGAGATCTTGGGTTATCATTATCAAGTTTTTAAGTTTACCTTTTTTTTTCTTCCCCTCCGTTTTTCCTACATGCATGCATGAGCTAGAAAGTACCCGAGTGTATCGCTGGTCTGGAGGGACTTATTGGCATGTTTCTTTGCAAAGCTATCGGATGTTCGTAGAGCTATAGACCAACGAAAATTTAAATAGTACACGTGTAAGATGTGAGTTGTTTTTTCTTTGATAACTGCTCTAATCACGTTTTTGTTCTGTTCTGACGTTTAACAATCAAAGCACAATTTCTTCCCTTTTTACAATAATTTGAGGTTAGTTGATCATGATCATGGTCCGTGCAGCTAAAACCTGGCGATCCGATCAATTGAGAAAAAGAATTGGAATTGCAGGAGAATGCAGCTAATTCTTGCTCTAAAATTCAATAGAATAGTTAGCCTGAACCGTAGACAAATTTTGATCAGTACTAGATACGTTTTAAGCTCGGATACTCTTGATCGGATCTTACTGAAGTTTCCAGCCAGATCAATATTACTCTAGGCCAGGTTATTCAGACCGACTAGTATAGCCAGTAAACTATCGACCTGGAGCTCGGACGCCTTTAAAACTATTGAAGTTATTCTTCCTATTCTGGATCGCATCGAGGAATCCAGAGTTTCTAGAAATTTGCAGAATCAGACGGCGGCGGCGGCGGCGAACGTCGTCTAAGTATATGTTCCGGGGGGCGGATAGAGAGCAGCTAGACTGATATAGACATACTCCAGGACCTGTTACCTTGGCGCCAAGTAGCTGGTTAGCATGCCAGATTTCATTCCGCTAAGTCGATAGCGCGGAGAATGTTGAGCAACGTGAGTTATCAATATCGAGTGAGAAACGGTGACAGGCGGTCTCGAACCGTAAGATATTAAGTTTAAACGGGTATTACAGCTAGCCCAATTTCAATGTTGTTTTGAAGCATTCCGAGTGAATTGAGTGAGTCATGGAGCCGACGGGCCATGAGAATTAGAGGCGTTGAGTTACTGAGCGCTAGCGTTCCTGAACCATTATTTTATGCATATGGCTAGAGGAACAATCTATTGCTGTTGCCTGGGTTAACGCTTACGGAACCGTTTACGGGGCCCTGTTTTATTACTCCTTTGGCGGATATAGACAATTAACAATGTGCTAACTGGCGAACAACTCTTCTTAGATTTTATTCAATTGATAAGTTTGGTTATTATCAGTAGTTTCTGTCCTGTTCGGGGGCCCAGCGGTCATGACACGACAAGCCTTAACCTAGATCATATCAGACCATTTCCCGCACGAGCGGTTCGCTCGGCTGCAAATTAGTCTTCCTCTCACTTCCAGCGCCTATTTCCCCAGCAACTGCGAAACCACCCACAAGGCCATTGTCACAGGACCAGATCCAGCATTTCCTTTGGACATGCAAGCATATACATACTATCCAGCAAAAACCACTTTATTATCCCCAACCAATTTCCTCTTGCCCGAGCAGAAGAATGTGTTTTCTCCCCTCGACATGCAGAGCGGCCCGAAAAGTCCGGACCCACCACGGCTTTCGCCGACCAACCCCAGGAAATCGACAAAGATATTTCGAGGGTAAGGCAAGGCAACTAGCAAAGGAGAGTGTGTGGCTGACGTCGTCCCATGTATGTATCTATATATTATGTAACTTGGCGCTCGGCAGTTCCGGATAATAAATTACCTGAATGTATGGTACATGTGGGTACATACGCCATAAAAGCGCCAGATCGACAGGAAGTCAAGACCCGAAATTAAAAACCTGGTAGCAATCCTTGTCAGGCAGAAACACCACGGG